GCACATTCTGCGTGGAGCACTGGGTGTTATGCACAAACAATGAATCATGGAACACTACATCAAAAACTAATGATGTAATGCATGGTGATTAACATAACAATAAAAAAGTTTTAAAAAAAGGTCTATTTTTTTATACAGAGAGAGAGAGCACAAGCAGGGGGAGCGGCAGAGAGAGAGAGGGAGAGGCAGGCTCCCACTGAGCAGGGACCCAACGTAAGGCTCCTTTCCAGGACCCTGGGATCATGACCTGAGCCGAAGGCAGATGCTTAACCAATGAGCCACCAGGTCCCCCTATTTATTGCTTTTCTTAATCATTTCACTAACCAACTCCTCTCTAAGAAGGCAGTCAAGGAAAATGAAAAGGAATGAAACTCAAATCAATTTGGCTACTTATCAAAATTCCGATTGAAGGGGAAAGGTTTGATAATTTCAGAACTGTCTTTTTAAAAAATTCATTCAATAATGCATTTCGATAAATATTTATTAAACTGTTATCAACCATAATAACCTATGAGTCTATGCATGAACTCCAACTTGCTTTGCTAGTCTGACCTTATTAATAAGCAAAATTGATGAGCTATTTTCTTGTAGGTTCAGTATTTTGCAGGATGTCAGTCCTGGCCTATGAGAAAATAACCACTCCTCTCTCTGGTTTGGACATAAAGTCATATTCTGAAATCCAGAAGAGTACCTGGCTATGCATGAAGGAAAAAATACAAAGCCTCTCCTCTAAAGTTCCTTTTCCATTTAGTTGATTAATTTGAGAGAATTTTCTCTTATTGCCCAATATTCACTTGTACCTCATGGGATAAGCTTTGCTTATAAATTAGGATTCTAATTTTATTTTTCTATAGCACTTGAAATTTAATCAGGGGATAATGCTTAGAATTTTAAGTAATGACAAGTACATTTTGGTATTTTCTTTCAAAAGCTAAATCCAGTTGCTTAAATAAATATATCCAAAACTCAATCACAGACCTTATAAAACCCACACAGGCACACAATGACCATTAAATATCCTAAAGCATTTGCAAGGGGCAAGAAAACAATTCAAACCTTTGGATTTCAATCTGATAAACAATCGGGTCTTTGAAAACTCGTATCACAATGCAAATGAAAATACCCCAGAGCACTTTTTAAACAGGTGATAATACTGTTAACAATAAGATGCAATCATTTTAATCATAATTGATTACAAATAATTATGCAAATAAAAAGATCATCATGAGATTTACAGTGCTGTGCTTAAATGTGAACTTAGAAGTACAAACTGCACACATCCCTGGCACTATCTTGTGTCGTCCTTTATGCTTTCTATGCAAGTTTGCAATGAGATCTGGGTAAGCTGCAGGGCAATTTACCTTCATTGGTCTTCTGTATTTCCTACAGGCTGTAACGTGTGCAATAACACTGGCATGGGTCTCTTTGCTGACATTGATTCCATTTACTTTGATAATACACTGTCCAGGGTGAAGACCAGCCGCTGCAGCCACAGTTCCTTCAAATACAAATGAGAAAATTGCCAAAAATTTGAGGAATGAGATTCATTTTTATCACACAGGCAACAAGGAAAGCAATTTTAAAATATAGTAGAGATGTAGCTAGTATGTTCTTGATAAATTTGGTTCTGATAGCAATGCCCTCTCAACATTTTTCTACTTTTCATCTGGCCATTCAAACTGTGATTAACAGAATATTCTCTCATCTCCCTAAGAATGAGTTTGAAGCGATATTGTAAAGTGACCTTTATAATGCTAATCAGTTATTTTCCCTTTCAAATGTCTAGTCAGTCTTAATTTTCTACATACGCATATATAATGGCAAAATGGAAAGCCAGAACATATGCCTTATTTATCTTTCTTTAGTTTATATAAAATCTCCAAATATTAAAATAGTGTTCACTTTCATTTGTTTTTCTTAGTAACACTTATTGCAAGGGCATTTCTGAAATTTACAATAGCTTGTAAATTTCAGTCTTATTCCTTTTTAATTTATTTTTTAAATTCAAGTACAATTAACATACAGCATCATATTAGTTTCAGGTGTATAATATAATGATTCATCAATTCTATAATCACTTTCATTTTTTAAAATGCAAACAGTTAAAAGAAATTCTTAAGGGAAAAAAAGTCAAGTCAATTAGCAATTACAAGTAGACTGGATTTGCTAAGTAAAATAAGCATTCAGGATATCTACAAAGGGTCAGAAACCACAGAATTTGTGGAGAATAAAATTAATCGGATAACATCAACTGTCCATCATTTATTTGCACAGATATAGACTTAAATATGCAAGTGGAATATCCTATCAGTGAGTTAAGATTTTCAGAAACTTTCACAGTCATTATTATTTGATATTCTGAGCAAATCAACATTTCCATAGCACCATTAATAAATATAATGAATATAATTAATATAAGTGATTATAAAACTTATGTTAGAAGAGCCTTCTTTTGTAAGCAATTTCTCCCATGAAGGAATTATTAAACATCTTAGAGAACATAATTTATATTCAAGAAGATGGTATATATATATTTTTTCTCACCAAAATTCACTTCCAGAAATACTAAGTGGTTTTTCTGGATTGAAGTAGGTCTTGGAGGGAAAAGGGACACTCCCCATAGAAAGAATAGCCTGAAAAAAGGCACTGAGTCAAGAAATAACCTGGACATTTGGGAGCATGTGAGCAGTTGGTGAGAGCTTAAAATGGGAGTGGTGGATGAAGACCCTGGAAAGCCAAGCAGAGCCAGGTTGTGAAGTCCTCACACACTTTATGTGAAGTCCTAAGACCTTAACCTTACTATATATGCATGAGGAAAAGCATTTAAGAATTTTAAGCAGACAAGTGACATGACCCCCGAAAACAGAGGATGGATCATTGGAGTTTAAGTCAAAAATCACAAGCACAGGCATCTACTGCAATTTTCCGGACTAGAACTAAAGAAGCATTTGTTACAGAAGGGGAAAAGAAGATCAAGTATTTGATATTTGATGACAGAATTTGTGAAGAGATTACAGTCCCCAGGATCACTCCTCTGCCTCTGGACTCAGTGGCTGAGTAGACAGTCATTTAAACAAAGAGAATACAGAAGGCAAAGCAAGTTCAGAGAATAGATGAAAAGTTCAATTAGAGATAATACTGAGGTCTGAGCTAGAGACAGAGATTTAAAAATCTCCAGCAAGAGGATCAATAAGATTTCTTACAGAGAACAAGAAGCCAGAGAAGAGAAAAGGGAGCCAACAGTTAAGGGGTCGATAGAAGAAGGGAGCTGCCAGGGGACAGGTAGGAGAAAAATCTGAAAAGTGTCATCTCAGAAATCAAGAGATGAACATTTTCAGCAAACAGGAGTAGTCAGTTTAAACAAATGCCACAGAAAGTTCAATTAGTACAAATGTTATCAATGTCCATAGTACTTTTCCGTCAAGTCCATGATAACTCTTATAAGACAGACTTTGGAGACATGGGTGGGAGATGGGGAGAGATGTCTACAGCATTGGCCTAAAACTCAAATAAGAAGTGAAAGAAGGGCAGCTGAAAATACAGACAGCATTTCAGGAAGTTTGGTCATGACAGAATGAAAGTTATCAGAGCACTATTCTAGAGCTAAGCTTATCAATCTTGGATGTGCATACAAATCATCTGAGGCTCTCATTAAAATGTAGATTCTGACTCAGTATGTCCTGGGTGGGTCCTGAGAGTCTGCATTTCTAACCAGATCCCAGGCAATGCCAATGCTGTATGTCTGTGGATCACATTTTGAGTAGCAAGGGTCTAGATGGGAAAACAAGGAAAAGGGAAAAGTTCTGTGTTTGTTGCTGTTCTAGTTTAAGATCATTTTGTTTCTTTGTTTATTTTAGTGGAAAAGAACTGAGCATGCTCACAGCCTGTACTAGAATAATCCAATGAAGAGAAAAGGCTGAAATTCTGGAAGGGGATGCCTAACAATGTAACACTCCAGAGAAGGTATCCGAAGGGATGAGATCTAGAACACTTATAGAGAAATTCACCTTGAACTCTAAAAAGGAAAAAAAGACCTCTTCCTCTAGGGTGGGAGAAAGCTGGTGATGGTGGTGGAGTCAGCAAAAGGTGTGGGTGTGCAGAAAAAGGTGTGGGGCTCTGAGGGTTTCATACCTAGGACTCTGAATTTGTCTGTGAGGTGAAAAAGGAAGTTCACCTGGGGAGACAGGAGGGAATTATAAGAAAAAGAGGGAGGTGATCAGAGACATGAAAAGACTGCTGAGTAGTAAGACGGGCCCAGTAAAAGATAGGACGGTGAACTAGGATGACACTAATTCCACATTCGTGATAGTTTTTTTCCCAGTTACTTAGGAGAAAAAGCAAAAAGGATGGTTGATCCAAGGCTAAAAAGAGGTGACATGGTGCACCTGACAAGAGGACCCTGGTGATGCTGGCAAGAATGACTGAGGTGACCTACCATGGGGATAAGGCTGGATAAGGAAGGGAGTCTTCAGGGGAAAAAGAGAAGGATCCAGAGCCTGGAGGTCCCAAATGAATTAAAACAAAACAAAACACAAGCTGAGAATATCAAAGTGATGAGATTGCAGTAAGAAATTGGCATATTGGAATCTTAAATTCCAAAGGTGAAATTTCAGTTATAGATATACTCTAGTATGTGGCCATGGGAAGGGGCTGAAGAAGAAAAAGGGCAACAAGTTTTCCTTTCTTACAGCAAAATCACAGTGCAAAAAGAAACCACGGAATAGTATCTTTTTATTTAATATACATCTGAAAGGAAAAGCACGTGAGCATTTCTGTCTTTTACTCTTCAGAAACAAAGAGCATAGGAACCAGATTTGGGCCTACCCTACAACTAAGTTGCAAAGACAGAACTCAGCTCTTTAAATGACACTGTAATAAGGACAGAAGCACAACTTGATTCACTCAGGTTTTCGGTTATTTTACAGTACTAATAAAGTGACTTACTCTTTTTTGTTTAGTGAAAATGAAGAGCGTGGATATATCAATTCTCCCCTTTCAGTATGAAATATATCCCATTTCAGTCTTATAATATGAATGAGTTGTTGGAAAGGTTTTAAATGTCTATTAGTCTATATGTTTTAAACATCTAAGTGAAAAGACAAGTTTTTGAAATAAGATTCATTTTTGTCATATATACACTAATGAAGGCAATTTTATAATCTAATAAAGGTCTAGCTAGTATGTTCTTGATAAATTTGATTCTGATAGCAATGCCCTCTCAAAATTTTCCAGACTAATATTTGGGTGATCATATTAAGATGTTTTACATTTTATGTTTCTTAGTAATGAAAAGCATGTATGTCTCTTGTTAAGATAAACACATGCCCTCTTTGGTTATAAAGACATTTCTTTCTATAGCAGCAAGTTATATACTCTGTGGGATCTAACAGTCATTCCCTTAAATCATTAGCAGTGTTAGTATAACATACAATTTAAAATGCATATAACAAGAGATATCAATAGTTTATTTACCTACCAAGCAAAAAAATAAAATATAAACATATATTATTTAATTTAAAATGCATTTTATGGTTTATGAAATGCTTCATTTTTAGAAATACTTGAAGTAATCATATAGCAACAGGTTATAAAGCACACATAATTCTTAAACCTGAAAACTTACATCTTTGAGTTGCTGACAAAATATAGTTATTTGCCACCAGAAAAAAATACAAATAGACAACCTTAAAATTGTTGTATCTTTTGGCTAAACTGAAACATGCAGAAAAGTGAGATTGGGAGGCATCATTCTCTCATCAGTTTTCAAAAATTTTTTTATTTAAATTCAATTTAATTAACACATAGTGTATTATTTGCTTCAGAGGTAGAATTTAGTGATTCATTGGTTGCATAGAACACCCATTTCTCATTGCATCACGTGCCCTCCTTAATGCCCATCACCCAGTTACCCCCATCCCCCCACCCACCTCCCAGAACTCCAGCAACCCTGATGTTTTTCCTAGAGTTAAGAGTCTCTTATGGTTTGTCTTCCTCTCTGTTTTCATCCTATTTTATTTGTCCTTCCCTTCCCCTATGTTCATCTGTTTTGTTTCTTAAATTTCACATACAAGTGAAATCATACAGTGTTTGTCATTCTCTGACTGACTTATTTTGCTTAGCATAATGCCCTCTAGCTCCCTCCATGCCATCAGTTCTCAACAGTGATAAATATGCCTTACAATTTTTTTAAATAATTTTTTTATTGTTATGTTAACCACCATACATTACATCATTAGTTTTTGATGCAGTGTTCCATGATTCATTGTTTGTGCATAACACCCAGTGCTCCACGCGGAATGTGCCCTCTTTAATACCCATCACCAGGCTAACCCATCCCCCCATGCCTTAAAATTTTTAAGAGTTTCTTAAAAAATAGTGTTTTAGGAATGTACTGCCATTGAGCCAATAAGGTAAAAATATGATTGAGAAAATTCATGACAACATGACCATGCACATTTTGAACATATTCTTGTTCAGCAAGCAATATCCAAACATGCTGTAAATCTGTTTGCCATGCAGGATGACTTTCTCACCTCTTCCCACTGCATGGACAACCGATGGGCCATATCCTCGGATCTGGAATCCAAGTCCCTCAGCTGAATCTGGGATTTTCACTGTCCTAAAATCAGTCAGAAAATAGGGTAAGATGACTTTAAAATGCCACAGTTGGTTAAAACAATAGTGTCCAGGCTTTTATTCATTCTTTCAATAAATATGTGTTGAGAGTCTACTGTGTAAAAGACACCGACTGGGCTAGAAACCAGGAAACAAACAGGGCGCATGCCCTCACAAAGGGACCCAGTAGGCATGCACGACAGACTTCCTCAATTGAACATGGCTAGTACATGGTATCTGCTGAATAAGGAACAGGCTCTGTGGGCAGACAAAACTAGCTTTGAATCCTCATTTAGTCACTTGATAGTTGAATAACTTGCATGAACTCCTTAACTTCTCTGAGCTTGAGTTTCCACAGAAAGGATGTTAAAACTTACTTTGCAGGGGGTCAGTGGAGATTAAAAGAAGAATCTTCGGTCAACTGCCCTACATCATGCTATGAATTATGTAGGCACTTCAATAAAATGGAAGCTTCTCTCCTTAGTTTACTGTTTGTTTGGTTTTTTTTTTAAAGATTTATCTTAGAGAGAGAGAGAGAGAGCTCATGAGCAGAGTTAGGGGCAGAGGGAGAAGGAGACAATCCTCAAGCAGACTCCTTGCTGAGCTTGGAGCCAGACTCAGACTCAGGGCTACATCTCACAACCTGAGTTCATGACCTGAGCCAAAATCAAGAGTCGACTGCTTAACCGATGGAGCCACCCAGGCGCCCAACTCCTTAGTTTACTGTTACAAAGAAGACAGCGCACTGTGAAATTTCTTTGTTGAAAGTAATAAAAGAAACACAGAGTTAATATATTCTACCTGTTGGGAACTTCATCAAAGAACCACAACAAAAAGCTAGTTATAAAGAAGAGATCTGTCAAACACTACATCAAAATAATTTAAGAATGTGATTAACTTTAGTATTTATTCAGTGAAATTTTGAAAGAATAATACATCAAAAGGGAAAACCTGAGTAAGAAAAGAAGTATTTTCAATGATGCCATGTGGAAAAGAAGATGAAGGAATGCTGCTGTTATGTCAAAGCAGTGAGGGATGTCCAGTTTGGCACTAATAAGTGAGCCACTCCACAGAGGGAAGCCAGAGATCAGAGAGCAAAGATGAAATGCAGAGAGCATGAGATAAGGCGGAACATCATAACAATAAAAACGACTATCATAAATTGCAGTACAGAGCAAAGACAAACGAATACAATGCAATAGATTTTGATGGATAGCCCTAGATGCCCAAGAAACAAAAGTGTTTTCCAAAAGATGATGAATTAATCATGAGATAAATGTCAGTGGCACTTCAAGGGCACATTAGACAGAGTCTGAAGTTAGGTACAGTGGCACTTAGAGTTTATAAAAAAAAGCTGCTAGAGCAGTTTGAGCAACACTGTGCCTAGAACACTTGAGAAAACGCTATATGGCATTTGTGTCTGACGGCAGAGGCTGGTCCTGCAATCTGAAATATAACTGAGGCAGGCATTCCAGCATTTGGTGATAGAAATATGAATTGTCTGTTTTAGGGAAAGCTGAAAGTAGTATTATGAATTAGGTTACACACTATGAATAGGTTACACACTATGAAGTGATCTATATATTGGTGGAGTAGAGGTCACAGAATGAATATATCCTTTATCCTTAATTATACACTTTTTGGTGTATAAGGCTGTATTTGCTTACTTTGAATAGCACCTTGTTACTAGTGTCTGTCAAAGAAAAAAAAAAAAGACACCTGAAAATGGAAGATAACTGACTAAGGAAAAGAAAAGGGAATAAATACATTTTCTGAGCATGAAACAAAAAAATAGAAGTAGCTCATGCTTCTTTATATTATGAATGAGAGTTCACTTGTGCTGAAATAACTTCAAGCTCTCAGGCCATGGTGAGTTATTGTTGCTTTTGGATTGTGAGGAATTCATAGCAGCCTCTTGGTTCTTTCTGAGCAAGGTCTTCTATCCTTCTAATATTGCTAGGGAAGGCTGACCTTACTCTAATCTTCAAGAAGATTATTGTAGATTTCTTTAAAAATTTTGTACAAAACACCATGAGATGCATTTTGGTCATAATACTGGGGCCCTCTTCATAAAATGATCTTTGGAAAACATGTTTCCCTGATGGGACCACTATATTGTCTAGTAAATGAAGAATTAAATTTACACAAAAGGAATACTGTATTTCTTGTAGAATGTAAGTGCACTAAATAATCTGCTACAAAGTCTTTTGAAAAATTCTTTGATGCTATCAAGTATAAAGTACAGCTAGATTCAAAACTTCAGTTGGATTTACTTTTCATATTTTTCCTTTCCTCCCTACCCCCAGACAAGACACTACATCAAGTATAAGTGGGTATTGTAAGAAAATATGAGAGAATGATTTATAGGAATCACACATTAGAATAAGGACATAAAGGAAAGGCTATAGATTTCAAGCAAATTAAAAGATGAAAAATGAGTACTCTCTCCTCAAAACAGTTTTGAAATACAATGTAAAATATGTTCCTGATATAATAAACAATGAAAAAAATGAAATAAGACAATAGACAAGCATCATAGATAACATCACTGGAGTACACGCCAGGTTCTGAACAAGTCATGAAGTTCTTTACAAACCTAAATTTATTTAATGTTCTTGGCAGCTCCATGACATTGACACTCATCATCTCCACTTTTTTTATGGATGAAGATGTTGAAGCAACACAATTAGCAAGCAAGTGGTGGAAGAGAAGCTTGAAACTGGACTAGAAATATTGGGTTCCAAACCCTGTGTGACAAACACTGCAGGAAGAGTCAGAGGACGCAGGTTCTAATGCTGCTCATCTAGCAGTTCGTTCTAGGACTGAAGATCTGCCCCCATTTAGTCTTAAAGTTGAGGACTTCAGAGTGATCCAGCTGTTGAAATGTCTATGGTCAGTGAATAGGTAGTTGCAGGGTTAAATCAGGGGGCAATGGGACCATGAGGAGGACCTTTATGTTTACTAATGATTGATTTGGACTATTACTCCCTTATTTGTTTCCAGTCGGTCCTTTTCCTTTTAAGTGTCCTCAAAGTGTCCAGAGGTAGGCAACTAGGTGAGCCTTACCCTAGACAGGGTTGGGTAAAGAGGGAGTAATAGATCAAAATTAGGTTTAGAGAGAAGACATTGTTATGATTATTCTCTGCCCTCTAGCCCAAAGTCTTCCTAAATGAGTAATTTGAATGAGTCACGTTCACTCTTTTCTTGGTACGTTTTAGCATTGACCTTGATGACTTAATGCTGTAGAATCTAGCTCATTACGTTGCATACTTGCTTTGGCAGCATATATATTCTAGCTTATTACATTGCATTTCAACTCCTAAGATAAAGAGTGTACCCAGTTATTGCTAAATATATACATTAAGGCAGGGAAGAATACTATACTATATATACTGAGAGTATTTTCATAAGCAGTGAAAATAAACCTTTTGTTTTTAAAGTGGTAAGCTTCATTTACCTTAAAATGAATAAAGTTGCTTATTACTATTAATAAATGCTATAACTGAATTTTGCACAGTAATTTTGATATAATCATAGTACATTAAGACATTACACTAAGCAATTCATATGAATTATACTAATTAATTTATTGGTTAAACAAATCATGGAAACGTGATACAGGAACACTAGACCATCAGTGATTTGCAGAAGAAAAGCCAATGTCTTCCAAGTATATCCACAATATCTTATTAATTTAAAAAAACAGATTATAATGCATAATCCCATTTTACAACTACATGGTTGTGTAAATCTGTATCAGTACATCGAAAAGTCAAGTATCACTGAATTTCAAAAAAAGTGATGGCTATTTATGGATGATATGATTATAAGAAACACATCTTCATTTAGAAAAATCTATACTCTCTAAATTGGCTATAATAAACATGAGGTTTTTTCCTAATCATAGGTAGGCAGATAGGCATTTTTTTAAAGAACTGACATATCACTAAGTACAAGCAAGCATGCAAGTGTACTTCACCCAGTTGTGCTCCCATTTCGTATGTGTTTAATTATAAACCTAATATCTAACTAACTCATAGACCTGAAATTCTTAGAGCTGAACATGGGGAATGCAGTTCTTTACTATCAAGTGTTCTATCAGTTTTCTTCACTTATAATCACAATCAACCCAACCTAGACCAGGAAAATTTGGGCAGCAAAAAGGAAGTATTATTTCTACTGAAACTACCTGATTTGAATAGCAAGCATGCAGTTTTTCCTCATCATTTAAAGACAAGTATTAGTGATCTTGGTAAGGTCTAATGTCCCAAGCAATGAGATACTTAATTCTAGACATGTACTTACTTAACTTTCTATTTTATTCACCTATGTATAATTTTTTTAAAAATCCCACATAAATCATACAACTTACTCCCTTGGCTTTGTGCTCACGAGAACTCTTAGAGGCTTTCTGCTGTTTAAGCATGATTTCAGGAAGCAATCCACTTCATTGAAAGGTCTCATAAAAACTAGGTCACCATTAATAGCAAAAATCTTTTTCCCAACTTCCATGCCAGCCATCTAAGAGAGAAATAAAAAAAAAAAATCAAATTATATTTTAAGATTTATTTATTTTTATTTTGAGAGAGTGAGAATGAGAGAGAGAGTGTGTGTACATGAGAGGTGGGAGGGTTAGAGGGAGAAGCAGGCTCGTTGCTGAGCAGGGAGCCCAATGCGGGACTCGATCCTAGGACTCCAGGATCATGACCCGAGCTGAAGGCAGTCACTCAACCAACTGAGCCACCCAGGTGCCCTCAAATTATATTTTAATAAGGAATCTATTTTTTTCACAGAATTAGAAGCTGAAAGGACCTAGAACTTACAGATTTTTGACATTCCAACACATCTGCAATGTTTTTTATACAATTTCACAAAATAGAACTGTGGGGGAGATAACACACTTATTCTCTTTGACCTAGTTTTAAATTTGATCACCCATCTGCACTGAAATTCCCCGCCCCTTCTTTTATGACTTAATTTTGTCCTCCCCGTGACCCCCTTTCTATCGTATCTTCCAGTTCTTTTTCTCATTTCATCCTCTAAACTACAGTCAAACCCCAGGTTAATTTTTTTTTTTTTTACTGTGTTTTCCATTTATATCCAATTAAGTCAGAGAGGTTCGTTCCACCTCTATACACCATCAATGACAACCGAATAAGCATCGCCAACATGACACAGCATAAACATCTCCAGGGCAGGAGAGAGGAATGGCCTGGAACCCACGGAAAAGAGCTCCAAAAAGCACAGATTGCCAGAGGCTGAAAAGATGACAAAGAAGACATCATCTCTCCATGCCAACCAGGCTGCCATTCTTAGCCAATCCCACTGCCTCCGAACTACATGTTGTTTTAGTTACCAGAGAAATGATGAAAACCCGGGAGAGGGCACTTAGTGACATAGTTAGATCTACTTTTCATATTTCTGCTTTCCTCCCTACCCCCAGACAAGACACTACATCAAGTATAAGTGGGTATTGTAAGAAAATATGAGAGAATGATTTATAGGAATCACACATTAGAATAAGGACATAAAGGAAAGGCTATAGAGTTCAAGCAAATTAAAAAAAAATTTAATTTTGTGCTCTAATTTAAAGCTGTGCTCTAGGAACACCCACAGAAAATGTCTGGGAGAAACATTTCCTTCTTGCAGAAAATTACTAAAAATAGTCTTTTGTTGGCCCAGCCCACTAACAAAGTATGAGCTGACCAGAGTTATTTCATTTGAAATTAATGTGCTGTACCTAAAACACTGTCTTGCATGAATTTGTCTTTTGGTAAAAGACAGAGACCTTGGGCATTAGCCAATAGGAGGGTGGATGGAAGTATGCTACTAACTTTAAGCCAGGTTCAAAGTTAAAAGTCATGCTTCATTCATTCTCACATTCTTTATTTAAGATTTATATATTTAGAAGTTTGCTTGAGGATTAAGGCATTATCCCTCAACTGTGTTAAGGCACAATTAAGCCAGGCAGCAAGGTGAGAATACTTTAAATCTGACATATTTGGGATATAACGCTCCCAGTAGTTTCCATGAGAGCAGGAGATTTTGTCTCTTTTATTCATTGTTATATTCCCAGAGCCTGGAACAGTTCCTGGCATATAACAGGTACTAAATAAATAATCCTGAATGAATGATCAGAAGATTCCTTTGATTAAAGGCTGCTGAGGTGAGAGAACATCAAATAGCATTAACCTAATGAGAAAATAAGTCAAAGCACATGCTTTACTGATGAAAGTTATATTTTTATAAGACAGCCAAAAGTGATAGGAAAATAAAAGACGTAGCCCTAGATTTAATGGAACAGGTATTTGACATACATAGTACAGTCCCACTGTATGCAATCTCCCCAGGGTTCCAGGCTAGAATTTTGAACAGGGAAGTCCCAGGGACATGGAATGAGACGTGTGATCTCCCAAGGTCAAGAAGTTCACAGTTATGGATCTCCAACTATCTGAGTACATGAACTCTGTCACAAATCCCAATCGTATCTGGTACAAACTCAGAATAAGATTATTCAGAAACACTATTTTCAATAAAGATACTTAAAAGCTGATTTCAATTTGTTTAGAACCTTTATATTTGTATGTCATGGACAACAAATTTAAATAAAAATGCTAATTTACATTACCTCAGCATTAGACCCCTTTTCTACCAACTTTATTATTGGAACTTTATTTTTGTCTTCTAACCCAAAACCATAGCTGCCTTCATTGGATTTAATCTGAAATGCAAAATATTAACATTATTAATAAAGGAACTATGAAAAAAGGTACAAATCAAACAGAATAAATGAAGAAAATTTATATAACATATTGATAAACTTACCAATAATGATTTGGCTATAACATTTTCCACAACTTTTAAGTCATGTTTCATAAGTCGATGCTTCATATTTGATCCTTCCATTTCCTCATCCGCAAAAAAACGGAAAAGTAGGGGTTCATCTCTGAATTCACTTTTTTCAAGGACTACAAAAACAGAGATTCAAATTGTTGCAATTAATCCAAAAATTGAACCCATTTTTCATACTAATAGACATTCAGTAAACTAATACCTGTCCCATAACTTCAATGTAATACTCTTAGAAGTTTCATTCACAAATATTCCTATGATATTGTTCTATTTCTTTCGACAGCTTCAAGCTGATGTTTCCTTTAAATTACTATTAACTAAAGAGTTTTGAATTTTTAAGTATTTTTTCAATGTTAACTTTTTTTTAAATTATTTATTTATTTGACAGAGAGAGAGAGCGAGAGCAGGAACACAAGCAGGGGGAGTGGGAGAGGGAGAAGCAGGCTTCCCGCTGAGCAGGGAGCCCAATGCGGGGCTTGATCCCGGGACCCTGGGATCATGACCTGAGCTGAAGGCAGACACTTAACGACTGAGCCACTCAGGTGCCCCAAATGTTAACTTTTTTGTACTCACCCAAATTTAATAAAAGATTATATTGAATCAAAAAATGTATGCAATCTAAAACATAGAAACCTACATTGTTTTGAATTTGTAGTAAACATTTGAAGTGTGTTTTTAATATCCTGAACAATTATGGGAAAATTCAAATGGGTAAGTGTTGCTCTTATGTGTGTGAGCAATTCCCACTGTGGGTCACTTTTGTTCCAACACTTCAAACCAGAAATATATCTTCTGGGTGAAATGTGATTTTAGTTTCCATTAATTCCTAGTTTTTTTCTGTTTAAAAACATTGTTCTCAGGGTGCCTGGGTGGCTCAGGAAAGCAATACAAAACTATTTTATTTCATTATTTTTACAGAGTTCCAAATAATAACTGTTGACCAGATGATATATGTATTGATCTTTGGATGGAAGACTGGCCGGCAACTTGGGTTAACAAATGAAACTATCAAGCACAAATTAAAAAGTAACACCTTACAGTTGACAACAGAAATGAGAATATACTTGAGATCAAGTTAGGTCTTGCCTACATGACCCAAGCACTTCCCCCAAACTCACATGGTGTTTTGCTACTGCTATTTTCCTCCACCAAATAGTCTGCCTAACAGGAGTGAGAAAGGACATCAATGAGGCCAGGCAGCAGCCAGACTGGTTGTGCTTTATTAACATAGACTTTTGTAGGGAAAACTTTTGTTGTTAACTCAATATTTTTTTTGTTAATTAATTAATTAATTAATTAATTTTATTTGTTTTTTTAGAGAGAGAGAGAGAGTGCATGCGCACATGCCTACGAGCATGGGAGAGGGCCGGACAGAGAGGGAGAATGTCAAGCAGGCTCCACATCGAGCACAAGCCCAATGCAGGGTTGATTTCATGATCCTGAGATCATGACTTGAACCAAAATCAAGAGTCGGACGCTTAACTGACTGAGCCACCCAGGTGCCCCTAACTCAATATTTTAAAATAAATATTTAGATAAAATGACTGTTTGTTGATGCTTTAAAAAGAAAAACAAAATATTTGAAGGTTTTCACCCCAATATTATACTTTTAATTCCCTATAATAATGTCATTTCTCCCATTCAATAGTTTTTCAGCAAGGACTAGTATTTCTCTAGCACATCTCATACAGTGCTCTAGAGATAGTGGGATGTAATGGAATTCCCAAATGAATGTATGCTAACCAATGATACTCTCAACATCACTGAAAGTTTTGCTATACTTCCTTCTTCACAGAAAGGTTAACAACCTTGGGGTGCCTGAGTGGCTCCACTGGTTGAGCAATCAACTCTTGGTTTCGGCTCAGGTCATGATCTCAGGGTCATGAGGGGACTCCTCAGAGGGGAGTCTGCTTGAGATTCTCTTTCTCCCTCCCCCTCTGCCCCAGTCTCTCTCTATATGAAATAAATAAATCTTTTTTTAAAAAAGGTAATAACCTTCTGAAAGTAATTGACAAATAGGTAGAAGTGTTATCAAATATGTGTTTATAAGCATATATACATTTATATATATGTAAACAGTGAAAAAGACTGGGTTTGTGGAATATATAAGATGCTATGAATAGAGAGGGAAAACTGTCTCATTATTTTTATAAATTTAGGCGTAATGAAGTCATCAAACAGGAAAAATAATTAGTGGCCAAAATGAAACAGATTTTTTTCCAGAGATTTATAATTTTATCTCTGAGATAATTTTAAAAGCATTTTTCTAAAACAAAAAAACTGATTACCAACCATATATGCTCTCATTTAATCATTTTTATATATACTGGCATTAAAAAAAACATGAGTCTAATCTAAAATAATTTCAATTTTTTTAAAAAGCTACTTAAAAAAAAAATCTTCTAGTTCAAGCTTTTGCTCTTCTGGAGTCAGTCTAGAAAAAGAGAAGAGAAGTCATGGCAACTGGTAGATAAAAGCAACTAGACATAGGAATGGCACCAGAGGTGAAATTGAATGCAGATGTGACCCAGCATGGACACATGGCAAGACCCATACGGTCTTGCTGGTTCATCTCTAAATGACTTTGCTAAAACAATGAGGTACTCCCAGTGCCCTAACAAAAACAAAACAGTAAAATACATCTGTAAGCTTCCAGAATAAAAATCCCTACCATGGTGCATAAATCCATTGTCACAGAGTCCGACACCAAATATCATTGCCTCTTCTCTGGTGCGGCAATCCCCCTGTTAACCACAAAAACATGGCACAACTTAACAGGCAACTAAAGGCTTTGTTGTATCTTTACTGCATTTGACGTTCCCAGCACCATACGACAAAAACATTCATTTCTTAGGGCACACACTGCTTTCATAAGCTCATGATGCACCTAATTGCTATAAAACATTCACTTGATTATAAAAACATCTTTTTTTGACATTAAGTGAAAAACAAAGATATAATATTCCTGAGTAAAATCATACTGTATTAAACATGAAAAATATAAATAACTAAAATTTATTGCTACCACAAATGATTCCGTTCTCTTATTTTTTCAATATCGTACCCTAATTGTACAGCACGAAAATATCTATATATTGAAAACACACTAAAGTTAATGAAAAATCATTATGCATGATCTCTGCTATCATATTCCTTCTACCAAATGGCCTTGTTCTTTAAGGACCCCTAAAGAAACCTACTAACTTAGGGTGGTTTATAAGACCCTAAAAGTAAATTGTTCAGCTGAGCCTGTAAATGCAAGCTTCTCTTTCACTATCTTGCAGAAAAAATAATCAGATCATATACCTGAAGCAAAAATGAAAGCCCAATGCAATCTTCTGTTATGTTTTTATCTAGAAAACTATTTTATTCATGTAAGTATGGATTCATATATAGAAATAGGCATATATACATATGTGTGTGTGTATAAACTTAACAGTTGTAGGTTTTGTGGTTAAGAAGTTCTTTCTCATTTTATTTCTTCCTGGTCAGGCTGGTCCCCTACTGTTGTCTGAACTCTGTGCTTATTTTCATCCTTGCTTTCACTCACAATCATTCATACCTACAATGCATGTTTTGCATGTTTTGTCCACTCATTTGTTTTAAAATATCTGTTGTTAGTCCTAGCAAGTTATTCTAATGTCCCTGTGCCTTTTCCTCTGTTAGATAATAATTCCACACCTGTAATAAACAGTTGTGAAAATAAAATCTGGAGAGATGAAGGGACTTGTCCAACTTTGCATAACCACTTATTAGAAGAACTATCATCAGATGCTAGGTTACCTGAGTCCCAGTTCATCACCCCATTTTCTACTACATACAATTTCTAAGACATTGTTGTAACAGATCACTAAGAAAACCTGAAGAAAAAAAATAATTGCAACGTGTTCCAGTTTTTGGGTAGCTTATTTATTCTTCTAATGTTCACATTTGAAAAGTGAAACAATGCCAAAAAGGAAAAAAGAGAAGAAAGCTGCTCACTGATTTCCTGAGTCAGGACTTTAAATATTTATTAGGCACCAACTTTTGCTTCAAAAAAACTTACTTCAGTCTTCTCACATAGTCAACATATACTACAAGTTTGTGTGAATTCTGTAAGATTATAACTTCTATGTGAAATGCCAACTCTGATACCAAGTACAGAACCAATTCTAACGACACATATTTGACCATAATATTATAAAAGGCTCTGACTCGAGTAAACCCACTACATGTATGAATTAGTTTCTTTATCTAAAAATAATTGCTTGGTTTAATCTAAAATTTTAACTTCCAAATAGAACACATTTAAGTGCTATAAATACAAAAGTAAGCAGTCTTTAATAGTCTAGAAATTAATATTCAATAATAAAAGTCTCAAAATTTATGTGCACAGATGAATCAAATATGAATTAAACATTAATATTTGAAACAAAGAACATTTTATGATTATCAAATGTTATTCCCATGCAACAAAGAGTAGGCCACTTTCTTTAATAACAAAAAAGTAAAACTGCTTATGAAATTGACTCAAATATCTAAGCATGACAACATTTCAACCAAGCAATATCCCCTAACAAAACAGTGAGTTCTGTCAAAGTTGTTTTTTAATCAATGTTAAACATTTGATCATATATTAGTTGACTTAGTATGATAAAACATTTAAATTTATATTTGAATATCTAGTATGTTGGGGTAGATGCCCTAATTTGCAAATAACATTTTCTCAATACCTGCTGTCAACTCCCACGTTCTGAGAAACGGAGCAACAATAACAATAAATTTCGTAGTTTCCTATTTAAAATGTATGTAGATAAATATTAAGGCTTATATGTCAAAGCACAATTATCTAACAGAAAGGCACAGGGAGATTAGATAACTTGCTAGGACTAGGAAACATATCTTAAGACGAATTAGTGAACAAAACTTGCAAGAAATTTTAGGGCGCCTGGGTGGCTCACTCGTTAAGCGTCTGCCTTTGGCTCAGGTCATGATCCCAGGGTCCTGGGATCAAGTCCCACATCGGGCTCCCTGCTCAGCGGGAAGCCTGCTCCTCCCTCTCCCACTCCCCCTGCTTGTGTTCCTGCTCTCACTGTCTCTCTCTGTCAAATAAATAAATAAAATCTTTAAAAAAAAAAAAAAACTTGCAAGAAATTTTAGCGTATGTGAATATGTGTTCTTCAGTGATATTCAAATTACACTTAGGTTTTGTTTTTTGTTTTGTTTTGTTTTTGTTTTTAAAGTAGGCTCCATGCTGGGCATGGGGCCAGCTTGAACTCACGATTCAGAGATCAAGACGTGAGCTGAGATCGAGTCAGATGCTTAACTGACTGAGACTCTCAGGTGCCCCTACACTTAGTTTTTTTGATGGATCTCAGTTGATACTTTAAAAATAGGAACATCTTCCTCTTGAAAAACCCTATAGCATAAAAATTAAGTTTGAAGACTGTTAAGTCAGATTACCTAGATTCAAATTCTAACTCTGTATTAGCTGTATGAACTTGATCAAGCTATTTCACTGTCTCATCTGCACATGGTGACAAAAAAAGGTACCTAAATCCCCTCAAAGCTTAAAGTAGCAGTGAATGTAACTCAGCAACTTCTATTTGTCTGTTTACCTGTGCAATTAACCAGTCTATCAGTTTGTTGGCCATGACTACAGATTTGTAGGTTCTTAAATGGTAATCTTTATCTCTATAAAGGAAAAAGAAACCAAAACCAGTAAGAAGAGGATAAGTAAGAACAGGAAAACATTTCATTTAATATCAGTGTGCAACAGAGAAGTTTATTAAATATAATCTGAATCTATTATCCAAGTTATGTGCAAATGACAGAGGTTTATAAGTATACATAGCACCGGAAAACTCCTTCATCAGCTCATATCAGAAGAGACCCACAATGATACCAAAACAAGACATTTCTCCTTTGATAGGTTCTTATACACAAGTAGATTATTACTGCTATATTATCTGGTAAAAACTTAGCTAGAAATACAATATCTCATTAATAAAAGAATAATAAAATGGAATTTCTTCCCTTAAAATCAAGATAGTCTACAAAAAAAAAATCTCATCAAAATGTACAGAATAAAACAACCCTTTTTATTCCTGAATTCTCCAGGAAGGCTGGATTTGGTTCAGCTGCAGTGGCAGAGAGCAGGCCCGTCCTGAGGTAAACATGCTGAGAACCCTGTCATTCATCTTGTCTGATCAGGGCATGGACAAGTGACACCACATCCCTAGGGAACCAAAGGAACCAGCTGATTCTACATTAGCCTCTCCTTTCAGTAGACTTTCCAGATCTGAGAAATCAAAGTTAAGTTAGATACCAACAAGTACTCTTGATCAGAATGGGGCCCCCAGGGCAGAAATCTATAATTCATTCATTTTGCAGGCCCAGATCAAAGAGAAAATGACAGTCTTTTCAAAATGTCAAAAGATCTGAACCACAGACAACTTGAAATGATAAATAATTACTAGCTCTATTCACAGTTCTTTAGCCCCTGTCAGCAACTGACTATACTGACATCATTTTATCCACTCTCATAAAAAAAGTCCCTGAAAAATGGTTGATATTTCTAAGATTTTTGTAATAAATACACTAGGTTAGCCAGTAATCAATAGCAGATTCCTTTTTTTAAAAATCTTTAAAAATAAATAAATTAATTAAATAAAATCTTTTTAAATCTATCTCCATGTTTCTGATACCTCACTGCCTATTTCATCTTGGTTTTCATAAGCATCACTAAGAAGGAAAGGGATAGTCAGCCTATTATAAAACACATGTGGGTCGGTGAATTCTTCACCCAAATAATTTTTCTTTTTGTAAGCTGAGTTCACACATATTAAAAGCATGACTATCATACATTCCATCTGTTTTATGGTTTTTTCCCATAAATTTTTCCTTGACAACTCATAAACAATTGTCATTTCTAGCCAAAGAACAATTCCTTCTTATCAGCTCTTACGGAATGTAACTTTCTTGGTAAGAAATCCCATATGGCTAAAATATATTTTCAGAGCACATTTTCTCACATACGAAATCTACATATACACAGGTAACATGAAAACTGTAACCATTACTGTTTTTATGAGTTTAGCAGAAAAGACAAATTTAAGTACCCACTTGATATTGACTGAAGTAACCATCTTTTAGTGTTAGGTTATCCAAAATATTTGCAGGGTAGCTGTGCTAGAAATCTAGTAGGGAATCAATAAATATAGGTTCATTTTCACTGCTTTTTACTTTAGGAAGCCTGTTTGTGACAGGGCACTTTCAGGAGTGATGGGTAAATTTTGTTTCTTCCTCCAGGATCTGCACTGTGTTCTCTATAAAACATCAGTGAGCATTCCAATACACTTAAACAGCCACTTCTGGATTTTTTTTTCTTGAGTTCTGAGTTTCCTTGAAATTGGAAACCAGAATGAAAAACAGAAACACAGCACATCAAACATTTAGATTCTATAGCCATGATGGAAAAGCATCTTTATTCATCCTGGAAATGGTACATCCATTTTTTTTTGTCCTGAATATTAAATTTCAGTCAATATGAATGATATCTGGCCATTTGAAATTAGTGTAACATCATACTACATTCTATCAGTGTATATTTTATAAAAATACAATAATACTCCTGAACGTCTCTTCTATTAGTAATCATAACACAAAACTCAGTTTTCTGCTGTCTTTCTAGAGAGAAAAACTGAAAATTAATTATGATTCCACTTCAAAAACAAGGGCATATCTCTTCAGAAGGAAAAAATTGGTAGAGAATAAAATTATAAAATTTTACTTATTTAATTTACCAAAGTAATTCTTAATTTTCAAGTACAAAATCTTTCCTTTGGATGAAAGACTATTAGGAGGAAATATTGTGAAAATACACATCCAAGAATTGATTATACAATTTAATGGAAAAAAAATCAATATACAGTAATCATAGTGGTATTTATAGTAAATAGTATTTCCAAATCCTCTCCCAGTCAACTATTATTTACTAAATATTAACTGATTGTGGATTATTTCATTATCAAGTCTATAATTTAGGATGGATTAATGACAAATAATTTTAGAAATCAGAATAAATAGAGTGGAAAAAAACTGCATAATTAGAGCCCCAGAAAATTTAGAAATATTTTCAGATCAATTATTACTTAAAATAATCTTTAAAAGTAAAATTTTCACTTATGAAAGAAAAATAAAATAAACCAAGAAGTTCCAGCTGAATAATACTTACCTAATATGCAATATAAATATTTCCACGTAAGTCGCCCAGAACTTAGAAACCAGACTCACCTTATCACTGGAGTAAACAGACTATGAAGACGGCAATATAATCTCACTCCCTATTATAAAATAAAGATGTCAAAAACAAGGAAGATCACTCAAAGGACAGACCAATGAAATTTTGAGACAAATCCACTGTCAACATTCTGGAATCATTATATAATCTCTACCAATTTAAAAGTTATTCGACTGTCGTATTACATCAGAAAAATAATATAACTTAAATAATTAAAAACAGGATTAAATTGTACTATGAATTTGTCATATACATATGACATATGCAAAGGGTTTTTAAAATTATTTTTCTTAAAATGTAAAATTTCAAAGTATTAGCAGAAAATAATTCTATGCAACAATACCTCACATTACGCGTTCATTATATGTCAATATAAATCTTGTCAAGTGTGCAAAGAAAACTGATGTTACATAAATTTTATATATTTATATATTTTTTAAATTTATTCAAGTATAATGGCCACTTGTTGCTACATGTGACATACTTTTCAGTGGATATAATCTGAGTGTGAAATTTCATTAGTCCCATTTAGAACTACATAACAGAATGAAAAAAATGATCTAACCCTAGAATTCTCTAAATAGCAAGAAGAAACTGAGAGGTTTGCTTACGAATGCCATTTTCTATACTAGAAGAATTTTTTTAAGTCTCTCAACAGCATTTTATCTTGGTGAAGTATGACAACATGAATTCTGCTATTGATAAAAGGTTCTCGGAGAGGTTGTTACCTTTGAAATCACGTCCTGCATCTCATTTCTTGGATAAAATGTTCCATCATCATACCGAAATCTATATAACATCTGTTCTGGCTTGAATTGATGTTTATCAGTAACTAAGAACATAGAACCAATATATTAAAATACTGACAATCTAAAAAGTGGAAAACAGAAACAACTAAACTTATAAAATACATATTCCTACATACCAAAATTTGTAGTTTTACCAAAAACTTTTGTTTCCCTAATGCAGTAATACTAATCCAGTATTCTGACAGTAAGATTTTGTTGTATAACGCATTTAAATTTAATGATGCATTTCAATATAATGATTTAAGAAATAAATTGAGATCAGCAATATTCAGTTAGCACAGTATGAGGGTGTGTACAATGTATTATTTTATTTATATAAATATACAAAGTTGTGTTTTCTATTTCTTCACAGTGCCACAAAGTTGAGCAAAAAGTGTCCTTCAAAGAGCAGATAATCTAACTAGTGAATTATAATTCAATTCTCAGTTCTAGAAGTGAATTTTAGTATTTATCTGTTTTATCCCACAGTGATCAGGCCAAGACCACACATACACCAATCTTGACCATTTATTCTGTGTTTAGATCTCTGGAGTAGATTATATAATTTCAATATGTAACTTCTTCCAAAATGTCAACAGTTTTCTGAAACTGAGAAATGCTTTTCTTACATGTCACTTAATATTTTTGCCCTCAGTGGAAATGAGAATGGTCATCCTTCACTTTCATCCTTGAGGTAAGAGTTTCATATTCATAAAGACTCCTATTTAACTTCCTCTCAAGTTTTCTTTTTTTCCAGGAAAAGTATGTTATAGACAGTCTAACAAAAAATGATTGTTTGTGGAGGAAAAACAAAACACAAATTAAACCTCGAAGAGTTTATATTTAAATGTTTTCTTTACAGGGAATGCAACATTTGCAGAAAAGATAATTTACCACAATGGGCTCTGTTTTCGTGATTAGCTGGAAGACTTTGACCTTTTTGTTTAAAATGTTGAAGGGGGAGAAAAAGTGGTCAGAATTAATTTTCATGAACTACATTTGGTGAGGGGCGCCCGGGTGGTTCAGTAGGTTAAGCGTCTGCCTTCGGCTCAGGTCAGGATCTCAGGGTCCTGGGATCAAGCCCCGAGTCCGAGTCCGAGTCCGAGTCTGAGTCTGGCTCCCTGCTCAGCAGGGGGTCTGCTTCTCCCTCTGCCCCTCCCCCCTGCTCATGCTCTCTCACTCTCTCACTTGTGCACTCTCTCTCTCTCATAAATAAAATCTTGAAAAAAAAATGAAGTACATTTGCTGAATCCAGAAGAAATCCAAAAGACTTATCACACATACATACACGTATGTGAAGTTTCAGCTATTTTACCCCAACCTACCCAAACCATGTGCATGGCTTGCAGCCATCAGATCGACACAGGACTGTTGCCAAAGAAAGATAGACAACACAGCCTTTTGGCATCTTTTTATTTCCAGATCAAGCCAAAAAGAAAAAAGCATGTGTGAAAGAAAAATAATATCGAGAGAAATATTTTGCAATCCTATGGCATGTTTCGAGACCAGTTATTTATTTCTTCTCTGCAGCCTACCTACTCTAATTTTTTTTTGAAAAACAGTAACTGTTTAATAATATCATTTATTATAGACAGCATTCAGATTTCACCAGTTAGGTCATTTTTTAAAAAAATTGTTCATTCAAATCACAATTCCAGATAAGGTCCCTTGTACTACCGTTTTTTTTATTATTATTATTAACACATAATGTATTATTTGTTTCAGGGGTACAGGTCTGTGATTCATCGGTCTTACACAATACCTATTCTAATTTTTATCCCCTAAGATTCACTGAAATAAATTATTGTCTTGATATTTCAAAATTCAAGGAAACGTTGGGCCCAAATGTCTCTTGCCATAATAACATAAATGGTGATTTAAAATTCCTATTCAAAATGGAGTGCTTAGTTGTATGGCAAACTCTTACAGGACTTTGATAATTCATCTTGGGTTAATCTGCAACTCTTAGCTGTTGCCTTGGAAAAACAGTGAATCGTTCTGCATGCAAATGCAGTCCCCAACTTCTTGAACATGAAAAATGGGTTTATTAACCGTTGAGAGTGCGGGTCTTGTGAGAAAGGTTGCTTAACATTGTCTTCTAAACAACTGTGCAATACTGAGATATTACTAGGGATACAGCTGGCTTTCTAGGTGGTGGGAAAGGAGTGCTGATCTGTAGTATTCACCAATTTCTGTGGTATTAAATATTCCCAAACTGGCCAATTTCAAGCTACCAAAATAAAGTCACTGAACACCGAGTTAAACGAGCAGTGATACATTATAATTTAGTATTTCCATACAGAAATAATCGATATAAATAACACTAAGAACATAGACAACAATAAAATAGAGTAAAATAATTAGGAAGTGATGAGTTTTAATAATATGTAAACTTTGTTTATAGTACAATTTGTGTACTATCTGTTCATATAATTTTTAATAATAGCTGTGCCTTACAGCCAGCTTGCAAATTTCCAAGAAATTTAATTACCAGCTCTCTTAAGTTTGTATAAGCCAACTTCAGCACAATACTGGATATAATGAATGTGGTGTCTGAATTGCATAAGCATTTATAATGTAAATAATAGACCCAGACAAGAAAATCTATCAGCATATCATACCAAAAGCATATGCTGTTTCAACCCAATAATTCCTGATATAGCAAGGCTTTCCTTTTATGAAGTTCTCAACAGTATTTGCAGTGTGAATAGTGGCAATAATAGTCAACTCTTTAAGCTTTCTCTCTTTAGAACAGATGGTTCATTCAACTTTATTTTAGGAATTCTATTTTCACTAAATGCAGCTGGAACCACATACCAATAAAACTAGCATGTTTGGCTCATATTTCTACATTCTAATAAAATTATTAATGTACAATTGCATAATACGTTCTCCTACTCCCAATTCAGGGGAATGTGTACTAGTTAATTTTGGACACTTAAAAAAGTGATTACTTTTAGCAACAAAAATTCTGTATGCCAAATCTGAAATTACAACTGATCAAATCCTGATAACAATAATAGTATAGGCCACTAAAATCAAACTGTGACAAATAGAACGATATTAATAGAGAGTACTCAGTGCTTTATTTTTCAGAAAAAGAGTTAATCAGGTTATAAATATCATTGTTCAAAAAGATTTATTATAAGTTAAGTGATCAAAGAGTTTTTGCATTTGAAATTTCAAAATAAATTTCAATCCAGAATTTATCTCTTACTTCCTATTCAAAATTGTATTGGAGAAAAGTGGTGTCTGAAGTTGGAGGGTAAGTTGATTAGGACTGAAATTCTACCATTCTGATATCGCTTGCCAAAATAATCTTACGTTTTTTTTTTTTCTCTTTAAAGGGAGGCAATTAAAAAATATTGTGAGAGGGCGCCTGGGTGGCTCAGTTGGTTAAGCGACTGCCTTCGGCTCAGGTCATGATCCTGGAGTCCCGGGATCGAGTCCCACATCGGGCTCCCTGCTCAGCGGGGAGTCTGCTACTCCCTCTGACCCTCTTCCCTCTCGTGCTATCTCTCATTCTCTCTCTCTCTCAAATAAATAAATAAAACATTTAAAAAAAAAATATTGTGAGAAATATCTTAACAGAATAAATAAGGACGGTTCTCTCTCTATGGAACTCTGTGATTCTTTCAAGAGCTTTCAGCAGTTATGAACCGAAGAATAGGTCAGATTCTAAAAGACTATTCATGAAGATATTTAACCAATATTATTCCAACTCTACTTTGTACTAACTTAAAATTGACTTGAAAATGTTTGGCTAGCTATTCATGATTTCAGGCAAAGTAGTAACAGTTTTGTCACTGTAAAGTCAGTAAAATTCCACCCATAATAGTTATGCCTTCAGTTTTCAGAACCCAATGCACAATGCAAATAAGTAACTAGTTCTCATACAATTCCTAGGTCACCTTCGATGAAATAGGAAAGCAAGAGGGGAAGGGCGGCTTGAAAATAACCTAAAAGTCCCTTCAAAGGACATCCTCTCCCCCACACCCTGACTCTTTCCAGCTCTGGGAATAAAATTTCTGTAATTACCTTTTATCTATTACAAAGTACCTCACAGTCAAAAAGGAAAATATTATAACAAACTTAGTGTGTTGCTCTTTCTAAATACAGTAAGCAATCCCATAGAAGGAGAAAAAGTTACATTTTTTAAATAATTTAAATAGCATCAATTGTTGACAGCTTTAAGATTTTTTTCTCCTATTTCTAATTCATAATGGTTTGAAATCACTCAAATTAACAACAGAAGTTACAAAAACCTCCACTGAAATAGAAATGTTACAACTTATTTTTATGACTAGTATACGCTGATATCACTATAAAACACTGACAAGTTTATACAATGATTACTCTGGCTTTAATATAGTTCCATAGATTTTATATTGACCTGGGAGCTATGCCTCAGTGGCAGACACTGGGTTGTTGTTTACCAAATTGGGTTAGCTTTAGTTTCCCCTGGGCATGCAGCTACACTACATTTCTAAGTTTCCCTTGCAGTAAGGAGTGGCCATGGAACTGAGCTGCATCTAAGGACATAACACACAAAAGTAAGGCACAACGGGGAGTGTACAGGCCCATTTAAAACAAACAAACCAAAAACTCCACCACTCCTTCAAGATGACCTTTAAGAGCCCTGCACTGAAGATGGATGAGCCTCTATCAGGCACCAAAACCCTGTGTGGGGGAGAGCACCCAACCCCATCCTCCACCAGTGACTGGACTTTACCTGAGCAAAAAAGTAGCTTCTAGAAATATAAGCCACTGTACTGAGGTTTATATCTGTTACAGCAGCTAGTGTTAACCAAAACAGTTTTCCTTCTCAGTTTTCCCTGCAAAAAGTTAATTCTCCCATCCTAGTAAATTTCTACCTTTCTGAAAGGAAATATGTCAACAGCTGGATTGCTTGATGAACAAGGTAAAAAGAGGGTCTTAAAACTACGAGACCATAAGAAACAAAGGCCATTAGTTCATGTTTACATACCTTAAAGTATCTAACATGATATCTTACACGCAGATAGGAGGAGGAAAGAGTCAGTAAGGAAAAGAATAAACAAAGGTGTTCATAAACAGATTTTCCCTCCTTTGCTCTACTGGCAAGACATAGTCCCTGGAAGTACATAGTCTAAATGAGAAAGGAATCATCTGATTTCCGAAGGTCTGTGACTGTATGCAAATCCTCTCTATAGTCTACCTACTTGAGCTTCAGTAGACTGCCGGACAAAGCAAATATATTCCCTTCTTGACCCAAGTATATACTTGGACTTGGGGTCAGAGGAAAGGAAAAAGAAGCAGCAAAGAGGAAAGCCATCTAGCCCAACATCTTTTCATATTTACTTATAAGCTTTTGGATGATGCTTTTTAGCATACTAGGTGCTACATGGTGTTTTCACGGTGCTAAAGAATCAAGTACAAAATCATATACAATTTATCAGTATTATCTGTTTACTCACAATATAATTATTCATTTATTCATTCAGTGAGCAAATATTTCTTGAGCACCTATGTGAGGGGCACTGGAGGTATTTACTATATATTAACAAACAAGGCTCCTGTTCTTATAGTACTTCTATTTTGATTGGGGGCCAGAATTGGTATGGGAGATCAAGAGAGAAATAATAAATAAACAAATAAAATAACAATAATTTTACAGAGTGATAAGTTCACGACGAAAATTTTAAAAAATTAAAAACAGTTATTGTAATAATGGGATGAGATTCTACAAGAGTGTCACTGAAGACATGAGTCATGAATACTGCAACTTTTGTCATTTCATTCACTGCTGTCCCTCCAGCACCTAGAAAGGTCCCTGGTATATATTAGGAATTAATAAGTAACAGTTGAGTGAGAACAGCAAGAGCAAAGATCCTAAATGCAGAGTCATCCTGGAGTGTTTAAGGAAGAGACAGAAAGCCACACGGGCCACAGTGTAATGAGTTAGGTATAACACAATGCGCCAACTCACAGAGGAAGTCAGGGGCCCTATCATGTGGGGCCTTGTGGGCCGTGGTAAGAGATCTGGACTGTGGTAAGGGGTTCCAGACTCTTCTTTGAGTTTAATGGGATGCCGGTAGATGATTATAAGCAGGACAATACCTTGATCTTACATTTGTTTTAAAAGGTCTCCAGCTGTTACCTGGAGGCCATATCATAGGGATGGAGGACAAAAGTGGGAGCAAGGAAGGAGAAGATGGTGACTGGGAAGAAGGTGGGGATCCTGGACGTGAGAGAAGTGATCTGATTAGGGATCTATTTTGGTGGTAGAATTCATAGGGTACCCAGTACGGTGGGGAAAAACTGGGAGGATCTAGTTCATCTTCATCCTACTCTAATTAAAAAAATACAAAAAACAAAAAAACACTGAAATACCTTAGTCAAATACCCGTGTTTATTCATAATTCCCTCCTTTTCTCCTCTCCCACATTTTGCATTAGAAATTCTTCAAGCTTTACTTCTTAGTCCCATTATCACTGCTTTCTTCTTTCTTTGTTGTTGATGTTCTCAGGAATCTGGTGCTCTCTTGAAATGATTACCAAATTTGTCTCTGGATCTCTCTATACTCTGAGCTTTACACATACATTTTCAACCTCTTGCTGAGCCCTCCCCTGTGGATGTCTCATGCCCAACCTGCCACAAACTCTTTATCCTCTCCCCACGCTGCTCCTTCTCCTGAATAATCATCCTTGTCATCCAGACAGAAACCTCAGAATAACCTGATCCTGCTCTTCACTCATCTCCCACATCCAACAGTTATTAAATATGCTGCTTCAGCTTTACCAAAGTCTCCCAGATGGGCCACTGTCGTCATGCCCTAGAACATAGCCCTCATCTTCCTACTGCAGGGAAAGGCGGGGGCCTCCCAATGGATGGGGCTCCCTGCAGTGTCTCCAATGTCTCCACTCCACATTCCACACTGCTGCATCTAAGGGCTCTAAAAGCCAAGGTCTGGCCACTTTTCTGCTTAAAAGTGTCCATCATCTCCTCACCTCCTTCAGAATAAACCCTACATATTACAGCCAGAGAGTTAAGATCTTGTGGGATCAGATGGGCCTACCTTTCTCACCGCACCCTTCCTCCCTAGTATATCCATCCTTGAAGTAGACTGTCTTGCCTTGTGAGATTCTGTGCTAGTTCCTGAAGAGGCCACCATGAGCTTTCCCACTCCCATTCTACAGTATCTGTACTGTCTCTCCAGGCGGGACGTCCTCTGCCCTTCTGTCCCTGTCAGAGTTCTACTCATTCTACAATGCCCTATATTAAGGCCCTTCCTCTCATAAAGCAGTCCCAAATACTCCAACTAGAACTTGCCATTCCTTCCTCCACAATCCCATACTGACTTGTATTTCTAACTGTTGCCTGTTTTGTAGCCTTCACATTCAAGTTAACAAATATATCACCATAAACCCACATTCCCCGGGCGCCTGGGTGGCTCAGGTGGTTAAGCGACTGCCTTCGGCTCAGGTCATGATCCTGGAGTCCCGGGATCGAGTCCCGCATCGGGCTCCCTGCTCAGCAGGGAGTCTGCTTCTCCCTCTGACCCTCTTCCCTCTCGTGCTCTCTATCTCTCATTCTCTCTCTCTCAAATAAATAAATAAAATCTTAAAAAAAAAATTAAAAAAAACCCCACATTCCCCAAAACTCCCAGAACTACAGTTCTGTATAAGGCACTTGAAATGTTGTTAAAAATACAGAAGCATCCTATAATGTAGACATTTACTATAAACAAAATTGATTAATGGAATTAAGATGCCCCCAAATGGTGGACAAAAAAGAATAAATTAGTAATTAATAAAATAATTACCATGGTGGATGATTCCATTTTCTAATAATGCTTGTCCTAAGTGTACACCTTCTTCAGGCCTGTGAATCTCTCCAATTTCCAACAGCCATGACACAAATTCACTGCAACAGAAATCCAGTGAAACAGTTAAATAGATCCCGCCTCTCAGGAAGTCTATTTCTACCATGCTTTCATCAAGTAGCTTTGGAAGGAATCTCAAAATACAAAGAAATATTTGCAGTGCATTTCAGCATGCATTTTTCACATAAGCAAAGCCCAAAATTATTTAAATTTTACTCTATTGTAGAAAACCCATGTCCATACATTCATGCTTACCTAAACCATATATAATAGCTATTCAATTTACTGAGACCTCTAATAAACACAAAGGGAAAATTTTAGAGTAGTTTTAACTATAAAGAGAATATAATAGATCCTAAAGATAACTAACAGGCAAAATAGATAGAAAAATAATGACTTAATATAAGAGATAGACTTTCTGGAATATGGCTTTCCAGGCACAGAAAACCACTTTGAAGCAGAGAGTTTTCTCAGGCTGGTGGCACAAGAGTAAGAGAAAAATTAAAAGTGCAAGAAAGATTCAGTGAGCCACTGCTGCCTTTGAAGACAGAGGGGCCACGTAGCAAGGAATGCAGGAAGCTTCTAACTGAGAGTGGTCCTGGCCAACAGCCAGCACAGAAACAGGACTTACTCTTACAGTCACAGAGGACTGAATTCTGTCAACAACCTGAATGTGCTTGCAAGTGGATTTTTCCTCAGAGCCTTAAGATAAGGGCCCAGCCACAGCTCAGCCCTTGATTTTGGCCTTGTGAGATCCTAAGCAGACGGCCGAGTATTGCTCACCTCGACCTCTTTCTGACCTATTGAATTATGAGCTAATGAATGGGTGTTGTTTCAAGGCACAAGAATGTTGTTATTTATTTTGCAGCAATATAAAATTAATACACACCAAAAGTTCTACTATACTGTTTTCAAATTCTGGTTATTTAGTGGGGCACACAGTGGCTCAGTCGGTTAAGTTGTTTTCAGCTCAGGACATGATCTCGGGGTCCTGGGATCAGTCATGCCTCCAGCTCCCTGCTCAGCAGGGAGCCTGCTTCTCCCTCTGCCCCTGCCCCTGCCCCTGCCGTTCCCCAAGCATGGGCTCTCTCGCTCTCTCTCCTCTCAAATAAATAAACAAAGCCTTTAAAAATAAATAAATAAAGTTATTTAGTAAATTCATTCTTGTATTAAAACTGTCACCTGGGGTGCACCTGGGTGGCTCAGTCGGTTAAGCATCTGCCGTCAGCTCAGGTCATGATCCCAGGGTCCTGGGATCGAGCCCCAAGTCCCTGCTCAGCGGGGAGTCTGCTTCTCCCTCTGACCATCCCCCCTGTCATGCTCTCTCTCTCTCTCAAATAAATAAAATAAAATAAAAACAAAACAAAACAAAAAAAACTGTCATCCCAAAGGAATACTCCAGCACAAAGCCATTCATCAGAACTGTCTACCACATACATCTGCTGTGGCTGTGAAAGGCCAGGGAGGATGCCAGGTCACATCTTTTACCATATGGGGGGGGTGGGGGAGGAGCCCCAGACATCACAGATAAGTAGGATGATGTTTTGTAACACAGAAGAGCACCAGCTCGGTAGTGATGTTTTTTATGGCCCTGTGGTATCATTAAGAGAACACTAAATAGAGAACCATTTTACAATAAAATATTTTATCATGCTCATGCTATAAAAATAACATTTGAACTTTTACATAAAGTAATGGATACATTTTAGAATGGTTTCAATTTTACATAGAGGTCAGAGAAATCAAGCTATAGAAAGTGTCAGGAAATTACTTTTCCACTTATTTCCAAACCAAAAGCAACACATATGGCTAAAGTCAAATAACCGAGGGACATAGAATTCTAAAAATGGATATCTAGTCTAAAAAGCACACTTTAAGGCAGAAGGAGTTGTTAAAATGCTTTTAATTCTTCTATTAAAAGGAGCATTCCAAAAGAAAGAAAATTTAAAAAGAAGTAAAACTTCAGTTTTTTCCTCGATGGCACAAAAATAATAATACCAACTCCAGGGGCGCCTGGGTGGCTCAGTCAGTTAAGCATCTGCCTTTGGCTAAGGTCATGATCTCAGGGTCATGGAATCGAGCCCTGCATCGGGCTCTGCACTCAGCATAGAGTCTGCTTGTCCCTCTCCCTCTGCTCCTTCCCCCACTATCTCTCTCTCAAATAAATAAATAAAATCTTTTTAAAAAAATCAACTTTTAAAAAATACAAAGCTTTTAACTCCTAAGTACGTGTCTGACGATTAGAAATAATGTATAGGAACAGCCAGCACAGGGCTGGGCTTAAGGTGGCCACCCTTCCCTTTGGTCCTGCAAGCTTCACCCAGCAGGGACTCCCACATGCAGCTGTCCGCAGAACCCAGAGGACACACAGTGGATCTATGCTAAGCATGTTGCTCTGTGCCAGGTCCACTGCATGACCCTCTTTTTCAGATTCCTCACTGATAGTCCTTTATGCTGAGCCCAGCTGTCAAAGTGCTGGATTAATCTCGGGTTTAGACTGTGTGTCTTGCATTCTCTAGTTCTCTGACTTGTAGGCCCCGTAGATGCATCCTTGCTGGACTTCGTCCCCTCTTGGCGAACCCGCCTGCCTGCCAGCCCTGCCCGACCCCAGCGTCCGCTTTCCCCTTGGAACATGGTACATCTGAAATTGTTGACGTCAGGGATGGATGGATAGATGTCTTAAGCTTTCCATATTTCTGGCTCTAGGTCCATTCCTTCATCCCACTATGGTCCAGGAAATGTGGACAGGAAAGAGATATTCAAAAATGCCCAGAGGAGTATTTTTTTTTAAAGAAAAACAAATCACTCAAGAAAGGGTAGCTAACACATGACATAGTGAAAATCTGAAAGAAATCCATGCACCCAGACTATCGACCTTACCTTCCAAGGAAGCATTTAGGGAATGTGGTCAGTTTTCTTTTTCTGTCTTTGATCAGATTCCCTTGTTTGCACATCATCTTATAGAGTTTCTCACCCTGTTCAGAGATCATTACCCAGGTGTCTTGCTCCATTCCTAATTTTAAACCTATTGAAAAGGAAACCAAGGACAGGTAACTGAAAAAGTCTCCTCACTCACTCCTGCCTGCATGAAACCAACATCTACTGCATGTCGACCCTGGGCAGGGGGTTGCCGATACAGAGCTCTGTACCACAGGACCCTGGTCGTCAAGAAGCTCAGGGGATCCCAGGGAGACAGTCAGGACAGGATCCCCAGGGCTGTGCGGCACCTTTGGTTTGGCCAGTGAGGGAAGAACAGCTGCAGCTCAGGCTCCAGGCACCCCTTCTGCAGCATTCGATCGGCACAACTGGACAGGTGGCCCTGAAAACAGCCTTACGGCAGAAGCTGTGACACAAGAAAGGCATATTCAGAGGATCTTACCTCTGAGAAATATTAAGAAAGGTTTCACAGAAGACCCATGTTTAAACGCAGAGGGATGAACAGGATTTCCAGAGAGAGAGAAAGTGTGCACGAGAGCTACGTGAGGCGAAGCACCACGGGGGGGCTCGAGGTGAGAGGAGAGGGGCCACACTGGTGAGTTAGGCAGGGGCCTTGCTCAACTGCAGGTTCCACGTCCTTCATCCCTGAGGTATCAGGGAAACATGTAAGGGTTTCTACCAGACGGAGGGGAAAAGCAGGGCAGGACAGGAAAGAAAGTTTGGTTGCTTTGGAAACAAAGCTCAGACAACAGTAGAGGAACAAACTGAAGGGGGCAGGCTTTAAAAAAAGGGAGATCATTAGAAGGAAACCTCAAAAATTCAGGTAAGGTCAAGCCCCTGCAGACAATAGTAGGGGCCACGGGGCAGAGAATGAAGCTGAGACGTATCTAGGAAATGGTATTGATAGGATACAGCAAAGGGTTAAACGTAGGCATTATGGAAAAAGAGAGATCAGGATGCCTTCCAAGCTTTTGAGGAAAGCCGAACTGGGGAATAGGGGGGAAGAAGCATATTTGGAAAAGGGTTTCAGGTAAGGAGGAGTCCAGTACCATGCAGGGTGACTCTGGACATTCAGGTAGAGCCTAAGAATCAGTGGAACGCATGCATATGAAGCTCAGGAGACAGGACAAGGCAGGACACAAAGATGGAGAAAGTGGCAGTGCAGACATGGACGTGAAGCTGGTAGGAATCGGTAAGCCAGGCAAGGATGTATCTTAGAGGGGACCAGTGTCAAAGCTGAAACCCGGGGAATACCCACAATCAGGAGATGGAACTGACGAACTGTTGCAGAAGAAATACTTGAATTAGGGCACCTGGGTGGCTCAGCTGGTTAAGCATCTGCCTTTGACTCAGGTCATGATCTCACGGTCCTGGGATCAAGCCCCGCATCAGGCCTCCTTGTTCAGCAGGGAGTCTGCTTCTCCCCCTGCTCCTCCCCATATGCTTGCTCTCTCTCTCTCTCTTGCAAAAATAAATAAAATCTTTTAAAAAATACTTGAATTATTTTTACTCTTCTAGCTACAAAATTTTTTATTAAAATTTTTATTTTTTAAAATGGAGGAGCAATTACCATTTGCCAGTAGCAGAGAATAATCCATTAAGAATAGAGCCTGTTAACATAAACAAATTTATAGAATGTGCTTGTTTGCTTGCTTTGCTTTCTTTCTCTTTCCCTCCCTCCTTTCCTTCCTTCCTTTTTCACTTTAGGTTTATCTATATGCATAGTCATTCTGGAAAAAATAAATAAATAAAGCTTCAACTTGACCAAACATTTATTTTACCTTTTAAATGATTTGCTGCACTATTTGAATTGATTGCTAGATTCAACAAAACTTAATCAGCTATGTATTCATAATCTTTGTTTTAAATTTTCCTAACTGGCTCTCCATCCAAGATCAATCAAAGGAGTTAAGTATTTGAAAATGCTTTGGAAATTCTCAAATGTGTACTATGAATATTTTAATAGAAGTAGGAGCTTTGTATGTTCTTCAAGGGAAAATTTCTGAAGATGGAAGAAAGGGTTCTTTGTGTTCTGAAATTTCATCAGCAATGAGATATTTTGCTCCTAAGTCTCTGAGGAAAAGGAATGAACACTCTCTTGTTTCTTATCAATTATTTGGTAAAGAAATTAGTAGTAACACAAGCATTTCTATTTCCTACTTGAATTACAGAAATATGCTTAATTGCAGATAAACTTGACACAACTGAATATTGCCAGATCAAATACCTTTTGCAAATCTTGCTAAAAACATGAAGCAATTTTGAGCCAGGCCTCCTCATATGAACAAACTCCTTATTGGGTTGCATTATATTCAATGGCATTGTAACAATTCTAAAATGTTAATGTATATCCAGAGTGCCTTATTCTATAATTAGGATACTAACATATTTAGTCTAGAAATTTTCAGTGTACTGTTAAAGATATAACTGCTGAAGGCCCTGCATTATACTATTGAAGTTTGTCTCTTACAGGAAAATCCCATAACGATGTTTTAGAAATGGTAAGAATAAGGTGCAAAGAAAATTGAACAAATTTTAAAGCAAATGAAACCATTTGCTGTAGACTGAACGTTTGCATGCCTCCCAAATTCATATGTTGAAATATAACACCCAATGTGATGGTATTAGGAAGTAAGGTGTTGGGCAAGTGATTAGGTCATGAGGGTGGAGTCCTCATGAATGGGATTAATGGCCTTATAAATGAGACACAGAGAGATCTCTTGCCCCTCTGCTATGTGAGAACACAGTGAGAAAATGGCCATCTACGAACTGGAAAACTGCTCTCACCAGACACTGAATCTGGGGTTCCCAGCCTCCAGAACTGTGAGCTACAAATTTCTGTTGTTTATAAGCCACCCAGTCTGTGGTATTTTGTTATAGTGCCTCAACAGACTAAGATACTATTTAAAAGACACTGCTTGCCACAATATATCATTTTACTAATTATACAATGTTTTTCTTTTCTTTTAGCAATAATATTAGAGGTATTCAAAATGTATTTTAGGGGTGCCTGGGTGGCTCAGTCAGTTAAGCATCTGCCTTCAACTCAGGTCATGATCTCAGGGTCCTGGGATCGAGTCCCACATCAGGCTCCCTGCTCAGTGGGGAGTCTTGCTTCTACCTCTCCCTCTGCCTGCCGCTCCCCACTGATTGTGCTCTCTTTGTCAAATAAATAAATAAAATATTAAAAAAAAAAAGCATTTTAGCCTGAGTCTTATATCACATGGGAAATCTAAGTGAACATCATATGCCTTTTTACTTTCTTATAACTTCTGCCCATTCTCTGCTTTCTTGCTAAGCTGGAATCTTCACAAAATATAATAGTGCCCAATTCATACACCCACCTTTTCGTCGTTCTCTTTCTTTCAAAATAGCTTCAAACCATTCATGTTTCTCCTCAGGTGTTTTTGCCATACACACAAACCATTTATTTTTGGCTGTGTTATGTATCTTCCATCCATTGACAACAATGTGTCCACTGCTATGGAAGTCAGCTGGAAATTAATGGGTAAAGGTGAAAAACAAATATAATATCAATACAATCATTCAATTCATAACAGTTCCAAGATCATTGAATTCTCAAAAGTATCTTTGGTTTATATGTGTAAATGAAGAACATAAAAACAAAAAATTAAGTGTTTATATATTAAATGCAGTCAGTACTCAGGAATAGAACATTTCTAACTCATAACATTAGTATATTACATGAAACTGAACATCTGAACTAATTAACATTCCTTTCCTCTATGTCCAAAAATATTATGAAAGTTCCTAAAGTAATAAAAAAAGAACTTTTAAAAGACTTTCATCTCAATAATCGAATATCCAAGGTGTCAGATTCATTTTGTCTTTTTAATATTCCTTTGAAATGTTATTCTAGGTTTCAAAAGCAAACTATACCACCACAGAACAATTCTCAGCTGTTTAATGAACTCCACAATAAGAATCAGAACAAATGAATGGAACATACCAAGAGTACATTTACCTAATCTTCAATAAATGGAAAGGTTCAAATGCCAATCCATTATCATTGCTCATGATTGAAAAATACACGCTCTAAAATTACCACATCATTCCATATAACTGGCTTGAATAAAAACAAAAAAATTTTTTGAGTCTGAATTCTCATTGTCTTTTTCTACGTCTCATCATAATTTTGGCTACATTGTCATGCTGGATTTGAAAATGCCAACAGGAAACCCTCTATGGCAGTTTTCTGCCTAATAGCAGGTAGAGAATAGTGATGTTACTTGTAGCCAGCCTTTACTGGCATGACAGTCTGCAAAGCAAAGATTCAAAATGAAAAAACATATGACAAAGGCCTGAGTCAGCACCTGCCCCAATTTAAAGTGACACTTTTCATTCATCTCCTGGAGAGTCACTAAACAGTAATGGTGGGTAGCCAGGAAGTGAGCCACAAAATGTTAAAGGTGGTTTAGAGAAATGACTTTGTGGCACTGTACTATTTTTTATTTCTTTATTTTTTCTCAAATGGCCTATTTTATTTGGTGAGTTCTGAGTAGAGGCAGGCATGGTTGGCACTCATTCTCCCCAAATCTTGTCCCCATCGTCTTTTTGGCTCCAAAATCACCACACAGTATATGTGACCAGATTAACTATTCCAAAAATGCATTTTCAAATGATTCCATATAGTTGAGGGTCTTTAAAATTCCAAGTTATATATGAGGCAGGATAGACTTATATTAGATCTTAGTCTATAATATATATATATATACATATATGTATATGTATATATACCCATATATGTGTCTATATGTACATATATATGCCGTAATTCCATTAATAACAACAATTTCTGATAAAATAGCGATTCAAACTAGCAGAAGATTTCCGCCATCAGGAAATAACAGTCTGTTTTTAAAAGGAATTTTTGTACCTTCCTTCTTACCCTTACATATTTAATTCATATTCATATCCTATACAAAGTAGCAGATCCTAGTAATACATGTCAGATAGGTATCGATGACATTAGTAAGAAAGTAAAAATTATCAGTTAATAATTATACCATAATGCCTTGTTACCTCCTACAAAAATCACCAACTGAGAAATAATGATAAATTGGTGGGGAAAAAAGATCAAATTGTACATGTTTACACACCCTCCTCCTCAAATGTGTCACCTTACAGGGTCAGTATCACAAACAAGCATAAGCTTTTCAGACTCTCCCCTCTTCCACAATCAGACCGAGATTAGCTAAGTGAACCCAGCACTGCAGCTTAAATGACCCCACATTCCCACTAGTGTTATTCCCCTTTTAATCATACTCCAGGTAAAGAAAATCACAAGAACCACAAGCAACGTACAATAATTAAATATTGGACTTACTTTAAAATGAACATAATGTATTCTTCCCATAGAACACCGAGGAACACAAGTTCACGTGCTAGGCTGATGCTCCTGACCCTGCACATCATATGCCCTGGGCCAGCCACCCCTGTAACCTGGGCCTTCCTTCCTTTCCTCCCTGGATTATTTGAGGCTGGCATTGCTCTCTCCACACCCTGCTGACTCTTCCTTCAACATTTTTCATCAGGCCATTCCTTACTTCAAAAGTTTTTGGTAGCTCACCACTGAATCAAGTGAAAACATGAAAGCTTGCTTTCGTGCTTCTTCTTAAACTGACCCCCCCCCCCCCACTGTGTTCTCCTGTGGCCTGGCCACTTTTTGCGGCTTTCCTCCTTGTCCTGTGACTTACCTGTTCTCCAGGCTGACGCTCACTCTCATCAAGCTACCCAGCTCTGTTCTCTGCCTCAGCAACTCTTTCTTCTCCTTAAAGTGTACCCAGATCTTTCGCAAAGCCTTGCCTAACCATTACAACCTGGGCATTCAAACCTCCCTTGGAAAATGTATGATTAAACTCAGAACCAGACAAGTCAGCATGTGATTGCACGTGGCCATTGTTTCATGAACAGAAAGCAAGATTGTTAACTGACTGTAAAATCTGCCAAGTCAAATAATAGGTTAATTGCTGTACCAATACAATATTTTGAAAGAACAGCTTATGTCACCTAATAATTTAAAATGAAAGGATAGGGACCCCTGGGTGGCTCAGTCTGTTAGATGTCTGCCTTCAGCTCAGGTCATGATCCTGGAGTCCAGGGATCGAGCCCCACATCAGGCTCCCTGCCTAGCAGGGAGTCTGTTTCTCCTTCTGCCCTTCACCCTGCTCATGCTCTCTCTCTTGCTCTCTCAAATAAATAGATACAATCTTTTTAAATAAATAAATAAATAAAATGAAAGGATAATGTTCCTTTTTTTTTTTTTGAAAGATTTTATTTATTTATTTGTCAGAGAGAGAGAGAGAGTACAAGCAGGGGGAGCCTCAGGCAAGGGAGAAGCAGACTCCCTGCTGAGCAGGAAGCCCAACGCGGGACTCAATCCCAGGACCCTGGGATCATGACCTGAGCTGAAGGCAGACGCTAAATTGACTGAGCCACCCAGGCGCCCAATCATGTTCCTTTTTAAAGTTTATGTGCTAGCCACTTTCTATCACTAATTTTAAAAATCATAATTTTAAACATATATACAAAGTGTATGTTGTATATATATATACAACAGGACTCAAAATGTAGTATAAATATCACAATGATATCAGTTACCAAACTACCAATGTTCTACAAAATAAGCAACTGATTCTCATTTATTTTGAAATGAGAATTAGTGATATATAAATGGCTTCATAATTTCAATCACAGCACATTTTTCAATAACTTCATTCTAAAAAATAAGTTTGAATTCAACTTATTTATTAAGAACAGCCACATAAAGATCATGGAAGGGGCACGTGGGTGGCTCAATCGGTTAAGCATCTGCCTTCAGCTTAGTTCATGATCAGCTCAGGTCATGATCCCAGGGTACTGGGATCAAGCCCATGAGCCCATGTCAGGCTCCCTGCTCAGTAGGGTGTCTGCTTCTCCCTCTGTCCCTCCCCCCCATTCTCTCTCTCTCAAATAAATGAAATCTTTAAAAAAACAAAATCATGGAAAAGCCCAACAGTGCTTTTCCTCAGCAGAAATTTAAAAATATTTTTTAATGAAAGAATAATTTATTAATGCCAAATGTAAGTATTTGCAAGTTTCAATGGATCTAAAATATAATTCTACAGGAAGTGTTAAAAAGGAATGGAATTAAAATTGTCATTCATTAAGTGTAGAATATCCAAATTCAACAGTCTCTAGGCACTGATGTTTTTTCCAAAAAGAGAAAAATCCAAGGGGCAGCCCTGAACAACTTACTAATTACTTTGAAGCTATACAGTTTGCAAATTCCTCACTCTTAATTCAGCATAGTTTTACATAATGAGATGAGGTTTTTCTAAAACTGATACTACTATAACTCTCAATGGAAATGCTGGTATCTTTTCAATAGTGTGAGTTTTAATGAGATGGAAGCTAGCCAAGTACTCAGGCTAGGAAACAGAAGAAACTGCCAGAAAATATTATTCAAAACATCAAGAGACTGATGTCCAAACAATGTGTTTAACCCTTATTCTGGTGATCAACAGTGTGCATGCACAAATTTCTAAGAGCAATTTTAAAAATTATAATTTACTCACATTATGAATACTTAATGCTGAAAAAATTATTTTGGAATAAATCTTTGATTTTATCAAATAATAGAAGAAAATTTTCTGGCATCCAAAATTTCATTTGACATTATTTATGGGAAAAAAAGTTTCTTAAAAAAGGTTCTAACTGATTTTTCCTTTTAAAACTAGAATTAGCTTCCTTGACCTTTTTGAAATTCCCAATAACATATTGAAAATTTAAGTGTATCAGGAAGGAACTAATACACGCCTGGTAGTCTTTTCAACATTGTAAAGTTACGTTACTTTTTAATTAAGAATGTATTCAATTCAGCTTATACAACAGTACTATGGTTGTTAAGGTAACTGGTTTATCTACTTTGTTGACTACTAAGTAACAATAAATATATGTTATGTGGTGATAAGACATGAAGATAAAGATGATTATAATTCAGAAAATGATTCTATTTAATTGAAAAGAGGATAAAAAAAGAAAGAAAAGAGGGTATAGAACTATAGAGTTCATGTTTTTAAGCATTTTTAAAAAATCTGTGCATAAAAAGAAAATTAAAGGAATATTTTAAAATTCTCATTTATTTCTCTTTAGATGATGAAATTATCTAGTATTTTCGACTTATTTCTCTGTTATTTCCAAATTTTCTCTAATTAGCAAAATTTAATTTTAAAAAAACCCAATGTGTTTAATATCTTTAAATGGTTTAAAATATTTATATTGAAAATGACAGCTGAAATCTTTCTTTAAAAATATCTATTCACTCTAAAAAACACCTTAAAGAATAAATGAATTTTCATCTGATTTATTTCAAATTTGACCATTGTATTGATTTGTGGTTTGTGCAACAATGAACTGCAGATCACATTTTCTAAAGGTCACCATTTTGCCCTCTGTCCAACTACACAAATAAACTAGTTCTTAAGAAAGAATACAATACAAAAACAAACTAGTTCTTAAGAGAGAATATAAATGATCTGTTGTTACTTTCTGAATGAATTTCTAAGCATATACTATGACAATTACCAAGAAAGTTAATGGCAGAAAGTTCAACAGCTTTCCTATTTAGGTCTTAAGCTGGATACTTTTTATGCATTATGATCAAACTAATATCTCAGAAAGAATCTTCAAAGAAGAATTAAATTAGAATTAACCAAAATGAGAGATGGATCTACAGAATGGTGGAATAGAAATTTGGCCACAAACTCAATGGCTACCACCTTCCTTGAACATAAGCAGTAATGGATAACATGGATATATTAAAATAGATACACAAATTTTTACATTTCTGCATGTCATATCATTATTGCATTAATTTTTTGTATTCTGAGATATAACTGATATAATCCAACTCATTAAACATTATAAGTAAAAGTATGATCAAGTTTATTTTTCAAAAGATTTTAGATAGTTACACACTGGCTAAAAGCTTAATGTCATTCCAAATGCGATTATTTCTTCTGCAAGTTTTGAGCTAAATCAATACAATCAGTTTCTGATGGAGTCCTTAGAAAAGAAAAGCATTTTACTTATACTGAGAGTATGCAAAAATACCTAGTATTTTTATAATATATTCAAAGAGATGGGGGAACATTTAAACTTTTCATCAAAAGTTCCAAGCACACTTAAAAATTTATCTTGATTAATTAATTTGTATTATTTACACCACAACATGGTATAGTCATTGTTTGGTTTTGGTTTTGGCAATGAGCAGATGAGCCTGACAGTATTTGCCATCCCTCATGTAACTCATCCAGGGTCCAAGTGTGGGAAGGACTTGACATATGGACATTGGTCAGCTCTGCTGAGATCTATCAACATCAGAGCTCCCATTCATAGAGTTTAAAGTAAGAACACTTGGGGCGCCTGGGTGGCTCAGTCGTTAAGCGTCTGCCTTCAGCTAAGGTCATGATCCCAGGGTCCTGGGATCAAGCCCTGCATCTAGCCCCGCATCGGGCTCCCTGCTCAGCGGGAAGCCTGCTTCTCCCTCTCCCACTCACCCTGCTTGTGTTCCCTCTCTCACTGTGTCTCTCTCTGTCAAATAAATAAATAAAATCTTAAAAAAAAAAAAAGTAAGAACACTTAAAACCTGAGCTCATCAAAAAGAAATGGAGATTTTGTGATGGAAATGACCAAGAAAACAAAAAAGGAGAAAGTTGGTATAGCACCCAGATCATTTCTTAGAAGAAACGAACAACCAAAGTTAATCTCTATATACTGATGCTTTATCTCTTCACAGCTCTCCAATTGGTCCCTATAGATTTAAAACCCATATGGAACCTCTGCTCCCTATTTCTCAAGGCATGGCCACGGTCACCAAGGAAACCTCGCTCCAGTCCCAGCTTCATATTAAACATCTGGGTTAACTTAGACGCGTTAGTTCTTCAATGTGGCTTCATTTCCATCACCTGAAATGTTAACAGGGTATATTAGTTGAGCTTCAAGATCCTATTCATCTTCAGAAATTCTATTTTTGAGTTTCCAAGTCCTGGCTGAGGATATACGCTTATCCTAAAGACCTAGTAGTCACACTTACTAGAATACTAAATTTTCTTTGCAGGAAGCAAAAGGAAGGTAGCCAGCCGCAGCCTTAAAATTTCTTTAAGTGACCTTGTAGCAAGTATTTGTAGCCAAATTCCTGCAACATGCTGTGTATATATGTTAAGTGGAGAAATAAGGCCTTAACTGGATACTACAAAGTATAATTAATTCCTTCATCATATTTCAATGGAACCTGAGCCTTGGAAGTTTGTGCCAAGAGGTGTCATCAGACAATTTATGACTAAATATTCTGAAATGTCCTGTCTTCCCCACTAATTCATATCTACCAGGGTCTGAAGACTTGTTTCCCTAACATCCCTATCCCCCAGGTACTGAGGTCCTGAAGGCTACCGTCTTACCAGCACTAAAAGAACATTTTCAGGGGATTGAATCCAAAGTCCATTTGCATTAAAGCTCCATCACCCAACATAGGCTCTCACTGCCCTACATCTATGCTGAAGATGGTATTCTGGTTCTGTTTTTTTTTTTTTTTTTTTTAAGATTTTTATTTATTTGACAGAGAGAGACACAGCAAGAGAGGGAACACAAGCCCCGATATGGGGCTTGATCCCAGGACCCTGGGATCATGACCTGAGCCAAACGTAGACGCTTAACGACTGAGCCACCCAGCGCCCCTGAAGATGGTATTCTATGCCCATGCCTCCAATGGCCCTGGGCTCTTAGATTTCTTTATCTAGTGTCCCAGTTTCCCAAAACGTAGGAATCATTGTCAAATTCATCAAAATTTACCAAAATTCACTCAGATTACCCGTGCAAATGGTACAAATGGGGACGACCACACCGTCAGGGGGAGAGGGAAGGAAATGAGACACAGGAGCTGTGTGCCCATGAAAAGGCATAAAAAGGGGAGAAAACAAAGAGAAGTCTAAAGCAACAGGGGACAGGTGGTTCCAGCAGGGGGAGACAGGGCCAAGAAGGAACAAAGTGGGGGTTTGAGTGTGCCTTCCTCTGCCTTCCTTCCACCCACCTCAAGTACAACATGGGCTTTTGGATATTCTCTTGAGCAATCGGGTTACCGAAGCAAGATAGCTGTTCACATGTAGACAGACAAGATTCCTAAATGTCACTAGAGTCCTCTCAGAGCATTAAAATGAATTAAAATGCCACCTTACAAAAAATATTGGGCACTCCTGACATGGAAAAATAGCCTAAGTTCCACATGTTAGAATGTGAGTATTTGCGGACAGGGATTTTCAGCTGTGCCGGCAGTCAGACAGCTCCCACACCTACATCCCTCCTTTAGCCCATGTGGAACCTCGCCACAAGATGACTTGGTTCCCAGGAGAGTACACCTGAGTTTTGCTCATTGCACATCTTTTCCCCTTACCTGCAGCAATCATGCTTCACTATTTATGTTCTGGACAATGTTTTAGGATGCTAACAATGGGATAGAGAAATGGCACACAGGTGAGCATCTGAAAATTTGTGCCTATGCAGATGGTAAACATTCTTCTCCCCTCTGGGACTAAGAGATGGCAACAGAGGTATGTGGTAGCAGGGAACTGATCTGTGTCCCAATTCTGTGTTTAAATGGGGTATTATAAAGGCATTTCTCTATATGGGAATTAAAGTCACTTAGCAACAATTAATATATTTTATTTCATCTTGTCATTTCTCCTAGGAGCATATCTTTGAAATTCTAATTAAAATCACTGGGGGGAAAAAACGTGATCCAATTTACTAATCATTCATATTATAGACTAGTATATCATCATATTACTTAATATGATGCATTGATTTTTTTCAAATAGAAAATAACTTATTTAACCTCAAACATTTATTTAATGTTTGTGACTGTACCTTCAAATCTGCCATGTGAAAATGCATCTTTAAGTAATAAAGTAAAATACACAAAACACCCTTCCTCTACAAGCAAACTGACAACATGTTTATATGCATAGTGGCTATATAGCTAAAACAAATTTAGAGTTTTCCATATTCTACAGTAAATATATTATATGAAAAAATATCACATATATACATATAAAACATAGTATAACTTGAAGAAAATAAATTAATTCCTTATTTTCTGTACTCACGCTGGCGATACCAGGAACTGTGAGTGTGTACATCACTCCTACTCAGCTGTTTCTTTGTATCTCTGTGTTGAATGCTAGTGTGTTTTGGCCAAATATAATTTTCTACTTTGCCAATAGTCCCCGTCTCCCTTATCTTGCCTTTCTCCTCCAACTGCTCTACCTAACGAAGTATTTCTAAGCTCTAATGCACCGCAAATGAATTATTCAGGTGAGAAGTCTGTCTTATGAGGGAGTTTACTATTGGTGTTTCATTTTAAAACTACAAATTACCTACCTGTGCCATCATCCACATTCTCCACTTCCATCACCTCTGTATTGATCCGGCCACGAAAAAGGTACCGATGTCCATCTGTAGATGCCTTGCTATTCTTCAACCGTCTTGTAATGGAATGAAATCACAAAAACTTTGTTACTAAACTTAATAAAAAACAGTGTTGAAGCAATATGATGTAAGCTATCCTCTGAAAAAACAAAAAAGACACCAATGCAATCAATGATATCAAATGTTAGGCTCTTGGTGTTTACTTGTGTGCTCCCATTCATAATAACACTGGTTGCTTTACAAATGAGGCTTATGTACTAGCTTTTGTAAACAAATGGAAGCTTTGGACTAAGAACAATATACAGTTGGGTGGGTAAATATGTGCTTTTGCTCAATTTAGAACATAAAAGGTACCAAATCAAAGTCTGTTACACACTAAAAGTTAGTTATTTTAAAATTTCATTTGATTTCTCTCACTTTCATTTCTCATTTTTCAGTAACTAGCTGGTAATTTCCATTTTTTCAAGCTTGGGTAAAATTCAGTTAGTACTTATGATTTCTCTGCAAAGAAACTGTGCTGGAAATTCTTCAGCTGAGTGTTATCCAGCTGAAAATATTTTTCCTATATTGTTTCTATGATATGAGACCTATATACTTGTGGACTAAGTCTCTTAATACATGTATAATCCTTTATAAGGGTCTTATTTATTTTTAAAATAGTCTAAAACATTCCAAAACTTTGGTATAGTGTGTCTAATACTGGTTTTTAATCTTAAAAGGTATGTACAACAAAGTTAAAATATCCAGGTTTATAAATGAACATTTGTAATAATAAATTATGTGGTTAAGTGTGTTTATACTTGAATCTCTGAACATTCAGAAGAGATTATTTTAGAAGGTTTTTTAATTAAAGAGGAAAGATTCTAAGAAATGATTCAGGAGGATTCAAGAATACCTAGTTACTCAAAAGATTTCAAGTAACTTAAACTATTCCATTTGACTCATTGACAAAAGTCTGGCTAATAATTTAATATGCTGAAATAATTACTCATTTATTGTGTTGTACAGACACATCTGGCAAAAGTGAAGATGTAAATGTTCACCAACTTCACTGTCCCTCTCCTCCTCACCTCTGCAGTTAGAAATCAGCCCTAGATGTCAGCCCTCCCTGCAGGGAGGGGTCACAAGGTGCTGTCCCATTCCCTGAGTTCCTTACGTGAAAGAGAGTATATATTCCTGGCTTATCTGTCTAAAGCTTCATCAAAACTCAGTAGTCCTTCATCCCTACTAAAGGAAACTAATTAAATAGATTAATTAACCTGATTTAGGGTTTCTCAGCCCCAGGCATTCACCATCTTGCACTCCGATGTTCATTATGAAAGTGACCTCTAAATGTCCTTTGCTAATAACCTTAAATAAATGCTACCAATTAGGGATTCAGTCCATATAGTATGCAAGTTGGCATCATAGCCAGCCTAGGATAGAGAAGAATGCAGAGCATACTAATATGTAGGTAACTGCATATTCTCCCAGGTAGGACATAGTATTCTGGGTCTTGCAAATAAGAATTTCTTGTAAGTTTATACATCATACTTCAATCATTTGTTTTAACTTTAATATCCTTGATAACAGTTTTATTCACAGGCAAAGAATCATAGCATGGAATCTATCACTAGTCCTATTTTCCAAAGCATTAATTTTCTTTGTGATCTTGTCAGTTCTGAACAGGCTTTTATATTTCTCTTGACATGTAGATAATAAGACTCAATATGAAATTCCAGTAAGTGATCAACATTGTTAACACTTAGCTTAAAAAGAGAGATCTTTGGTCCCTTCAGAAGGTGGTTCTATTAAAGTATACCTACTGAAAAGCCTATGCTTTGAAAATAATTTTGCTCTATATTGTAATGTAGAATGTTTGATATCCCAATTCTATGATTTCCCTCCTAATTATGTGTTTTAGTGGTCATCAGGATACATCTTGCAGGAATGTTCATAACAGCAGAAAAACTGAGACAAACAACTAACAAAAACCTAAAGTCCACTGATAGGAGAGTGAATAATATTCAACCAATGGAATATTATATAACAGTTAAATGAATAAACTATGCCTATACATACGAATACACAGTTTACAAACTATATTGTATACAAAATACAAATTGCAGAAGACAAAATACATTATAATACTTACAAAGCTCATTAACAAGCCAAACTAAGCCATATCATGTTTTATGTATTAAATATTACACAACACGGAGGAAGAGCAAGATGGCGGAGGAGTAGGAGACCTAAATTTCATCAGGTCCCAGGAATTCAGCTAGATAGGTATCAAACCATTCTGAACACCCACGAACTCAAGAGGAGATCGAAGAATAGCAGCAACTCTCTGAACAGAAAAGCAACAACTTTCTGGAAGGTAGGACGTGTGGTGAAGTGAATCCAAGGCGATATTTGGGAAGACAGACAGCGAGGGAGGGAGCCTCGGTCAGCCGCAACCGGCAAGTGATAGAGCAGCGGACCACAAAATCAGAACTTGTAGAAGTCAGCTCCGCTGAGGGACGTCCCTCCAGTGGCTAAGCAGGGGGTGGAACGCTCGTGGAGACAGTGTGGTCTCAGGACCCCCGGGGTCACAGAAAGACTGGGGGTGCCTAAATGCGGCAGAGCTCCCAGGTATTGGAGCGGGGAAGCCGGCTGCAGAGACGGAGCCTAGGAGCAGGCTCTCAGCTCGGGGTTGCCATAAACCATGATCCACAGCACAGTTGGGCCACTGCTCTTCCAGCAGGGACCCAACAAGCAGCAGATCCAGGGAGACTCCCCTTCCTCTCTCAGGAGGAGCGGCAGGGGAGTGCACTGCAGGGATCTGCTGGGTTTGGAGACTCCACACAGGGTCCTGAGCCAGAGACAAAAACGCTCAGTCACAGGTCGGGTTAGCAAGGAGGGCAGCCAGAGACCGGGGACACAGGAGTGATTGCTTTAATCTGGGGGCTCACTGAGGAGTGGGGCCCCGAGTTCTCGGCCCCTACCGGAGGGAGAGCGGGAGGCCGCCATTTTGACTCTCCCCCTCCAAAGCTGTACCGAAAGCTTGCAGGGAACAAAAGCTCCTGAGAGCAAACCGGAGCAGATTACTTAGCCCGCCCCCGGCAAAGGCGAGGCAATTCTGCCTCTGACAAAGACATTTGGGAACCACGGCAACAGGTCCCTCCCCCGGAAGATCAGCAAGAACATCCAGCCAAACCAAGTTTACCGATCAGTGAGAACAGCAGCACTCCAGCACCAGAGGAATACAGCACATAGAATTCGTGGCTTTTTTTCCCATGATTCTTTAGTCTTTCAAAGTTTTTTTTTTTATTTTCTTTATTTTGTTCCTTTTCAATTTTTTTATTCTTTTTCCCTTTTTCAACCAACATCTTATCATACCAATGCCTTTTTTTAAAATCTTTTTTATATTTCATTTTTAGACTCATATTCTATCCCTTCATTGTAGTTAACCTTATTTTTTTGTGTGTGTGTATATATATATATATATGTGTATATATATATATATATATATAAGTTGTTATCTCTTTAAAATTTTGGGACTCAGTTTCTTCTAACAGACCAAAATACACCCAAAATCTAGTGTGTGGCACTGATCTATTCATCAGCCTGATCACATTTGTTCATATTCTTTTTTTTTTCTTTCTTTCTTTCCCTTCCTTTTCCCCCCAGTTTCAGGTCTCTTCTGATTTGTTTACTGTATATCTTTCTGGGATCAACGTTACCCTGTTAGCATTTTGTTGTCTCATTCATCTATTCTCCTCTGACAAAATAACAAGACAGAAAAACTCACCTCAAAAAAAAGAACAAGAGACAGTACCGACTGCCAGGGACCTAATCAAAACGGACACTAGTAAGATGTCAGAATTAGAGTTCAGAATGACGATTATAAACATACTAGCTGGGCTGGAAAAAAGGATGGAAGATACTAGAGAATCCCTTTCTGGAGAAATAAAAGAACTAAAATCTAACCAAGTCAAAATCAAAAAGGCTATTAATGAGGTGCAATCAAAAATGGAGCCTCTAACTGCCAGGATAATAGAGGCAGAAGAGAGAATTAGTGATATAGAAGACCAAATGATGGAGAATAAGGAAGCTGAGAAAAAGATAGATAAACAACTACTGGATCATGAGGGCAGAATTCGAGAGATAAGTGATACTATAAGATGAAACAATATTAGAATAATTGGGATCCCAGAAGAAAAAGAAAGAGAGACAGGGGCAGAAGGTATATTGGAGCAAATTACAGCAGAGAACTTACCTAATTTGGGGAAGTTAACAGGAATCAAAATCCAAGAGGCACAGAGAACCCCCCTCAAAATCAATAAAAATAGGTCAATACCCTGACATCTAACAGTAAAACTTACAAGTCTCAGAGACAAAGAGAAAATCCTGAAAGCAGTTCGGGACAAGAGGTCTGTAACCTACAATGGTAGAAACATTAGATTAGCAACAGACCTATCCACAGAGACCTGGCAGTCCAGAAAGGACTGGCATGATATAGTCAGAGCACTAAACAAGAAAAATATGCAGCCAAGAATACTATATCCAGCTAGGGTGACGCTGAAAATAAAAGGACAGATAAAAAGCTTCCAGGAAAAACAAAAACTAAAGGAATTTGCAAACACAAAACTAGCCCTACAAGAAATATTGAAAGGGGTCCTCTTAACAAAGAGAGAGCCTAAAAGTAACATAGACCATAAAGGAACACAGACAATATACAGTAACAGTCACCTAACAGGCAATAAAACGGCACTAAATTCGTATCTTTCAATAGTTACCCTGAATGTAAATGGGCTAAATGCCCCAATCAAAAGACACAGGGTAAAAGATTGGATAAAAAAAAAAAAAGACCCATCGATATGCTGTCTGCAAGAGACTTATTTTAGACACAAAGACACCTCTAGATTGAAAGTGAGAGGGTGGAAAACCATTTACCATGCTAATGGACATCAAAAGAAAGCTGGGGTGGCAATTCTTTATCAGAAAAATTACATTTTAAACCAGACTATAATAAGAGATGAGGAAGGACACCGTATCATACTTAAAGAGTCTATACAACAAGAAGATCTAACAA